TATTGGCCATTATAAAGGGTGTCCCAATTTCGACCTACATATCAAAATTCTGATTTTTCAAAAGGAATGCCTCAAATTTTATTCCATAATTGGATAAACCAATTCAAAAGAAGAAAATTGATATAACATACTATGGGGTTTTGGTAATTAGCTACTGACATATAAGTTTTTGTCTAGAAACCCCCTACTTCGGCAACCCCTCAGTCCGCCATTTTAAAATTTGGAGTGCTGAATCTTGTATCAAAAAAAACTTACACACCTCAGCTTTTATCAAATTTGTTACTTTTTCGAATTTTAATGTTTGCTAATACAGGGAGGTCAAAAACGCGAATTTTAGTTTTTCTCAGAAATTTCGTATGCATCACACTCCATATTTGTGCAAGTTTGGATTCGATTTTTTGTAAACTTTTTTTGATGCTAGACACATAAGGGTTTTTACGGCTATCCTTGGAAACAAAAAAATTGTTGATTAGTTACAAACTGTCAAAATTAGCTTTGTGACGTGTTTGAAAATGAATTTTTCTAAAGAAGAAATGGTGAATATGGTGTTCTCGGATGCATATGTACTTCCAGCACGACGGCGCACCTGCGCATTATCATAAGCGTGTGCGTAACTATTTGGACACCTGGAGTAACAATCGTCGGATCGGTCGTGATGGGCCTATATCTTGGCCTCCCAGATTACCAGATAAGACACCGATGGACTTCTTTCTATGGGGCTACGTTAAGCAAGAGGTTTATAGATATCCACCATCTACCCCGGAAAATATGAAGGAAAGGATTAGAGATGCTTTTCTGAACATAAGGGAACACATGCGGAGGGATGCGTAACGGTCATTTATCCAAAGACTACTGATGTGTATTCAACATGGTGGATTTTCGAGCAGTTTTTGTAGATTTGAGTCGTGATAGTTGTTTATGTTGTTGTTATAGTTGTTTTTATTCATTACGCTTGAACCCAATTTATACTCTTCTGATTGTTATTAGTTTTTACGTCAAATCTGTACTCTTAGTGGCAATATGGAACTAGCCATTGTTTTTCTTTTGTTTCCATGGATGATGTGATTTTTTCCTTAATTTTGCTGTGTTGTTTGTTCTATTAAAAGCTTAATAACTCAATATCTAGTCATTTTATCTGAACCAAACCTGATTCCAAAAAAAAGCTTATAAAAAATTGAATCCAAACTTGCACAAATCTACAGGGTGATGCATTTGAAATTTTTGTACAATTTGCGTTTTTGACCACCCTGTATGAGCAAAAATTAAAATTCGAAAAAGTAACAAATAAGATAAAAGCTGAGCTGTGTAAGTTTTTTGATACAAAATTCAGCTCTCCAAATTTCAAAATGGCGGATTGAGGGATTGCCGAAGTGGACGGTTTTTCTGGTCAAAACACCTTACATCTCAGTAGCTAATTACCAAAACCCCACAATCAATCAATCAATCTTCTTCTTTTGAATTGGTTTATCCAAGTATACAATAAAATTTGAGGCATTCCATTTAAAAAATCACAACTTTGATATGTAGGTCAAAATTGTACACCCTATATAATTGTCAATATTTCAGCAATGTGCCCTCAAAGGTCATCTATAACATGCCATAAATATATGTTCCCAAAATGTATTTGTTTTTAAGTAATATTCCGTCCACACATGGATGAGCCACCATATATTTGGTTCAATATTGTTTTTATTTATATACTAACATGCCTTTGGGTTTCACAATGGTCCAACTAATCTACGTTACTACTACATCAGATATTATTTTCAAAAACTGGTTTACAGAGATTGGCCCGCGCTTGCAAGCGTCTCTACCCTTATTGTGTAAAAAGTTGCAACTTAAATTCACAGCGACACGGCGTTTGTTTTCAAAGGCAAAATTCTTTCGACGTATCAGATTAGCAATTGATGCAACTAAGGTAGCAGGAGATATGAACATATCCTCTTCAGGGACATGCTGCTCTTGTAGGTTAGTAATCTAGTTGCAGTTGCCGGTACTACTGATCACTTATACAATATTTCACGAGTATCCGTCACGGTATAATGACGATTATCTAGCAATATCTCAAAATTCCCCATACCGGCACAGGACACATAATTCTGATGGATTCGTCAACGTCAGTTAGACAGAGCCGTATTTTGTTTTGCTTTTTGTACGCTACAGATTCATTTTGTACTTACTAACAGCTCTTTTATTTTAAAAAGTTCATTTGCATAAAAAAATAAAACGCCACAAACAAGTTTTACTAGATTTATACCAGATTCATTATTGCCAACGTTGCAGACTAACACAACTGATCAGTTATTCACCTCAGTAGACGTCCAAGTGTGATGGATACACGTGAAATAGGGTAGATATATATGTCTTTTCACAATTGTGCGTCTGGTTAATACCGTAAACACATATTTGCAGTGACGTCATAACCTCGATATGTCATTTGCTTGTCTTTTTGGTTAATTTGCTGTCGAGTTTCTTAATGTTATTTTATATCCTCTAATATTTTATATTTTATTGAAACAAACCAGAGCCTGGACGAAGAACGGAAACATTATAAGTACTGTATTATTCCTATCATATACAGGGTGTCCGCAAAGTTGGGGTTTTCCTTTTCAGAAACAACTACCCTTGAAATAACAAAGGTAATGTGTAGTGAAACGAGGGCGACCAAGTAAAAAAAAAAATAAAGGAAAAAGTACTCACTCTCCAGTTGACGAGAAGGGCTAAGTACGTCTCTGCCCGAAATCATACCGCTCCAACAGAAAATGAAATCAGCTGATGCGCTACCGAGCAGACGCAGGCAAACAAGGAAGGCAAAATGTTGCGTAAAAAGCAAGGTCTAGGTTCACCATGTCAGCCCAAACATTCACCGAAAATGTTTGTTGAAAATGTGCCCGACGGACAGCGTGCGGATTTTCTACTGACCAAACATGAGTGTTGCGAAAGTTATTCACCCCCATTACGCGTGAACGTAGATTCGTCTGTCACCAATATGCACTTCCGGATTATTGTCATGTTGATGCAACAACCACTCACAAAACCGCACTCTTGCTGGAAAATCGTCAGGTTGAAGGGCTTGTACACGTTGGACGTGAAACGGATACAGCCCCTCTTCACGCAGCATTTGCCACACTTTAGTTTTTGATACTTGCACTTCTCTAGCCACGTCTCTAGTGCTTGTTGAGGGATTCACGTCTACGCGATTATCTCTACACTCGTGACCGTAACCGTCGGTTGAAGGTTGGATACTGACCTGACACACTGACCCCGACCCAGTTCTGTCGTCGGGTTGAGCTAGTGTCCTAGTACCACTGCCTTTATCTCGGTTCCCTTAAGACATTGGTGTATATGGTACTAAGAAAAATTGCTTATGTTTTCAAGATCTACACGTCGTGTAAAGGAAAACCCCAACTTTGCGGACACCCTGTATATGTGCAAAAATATGATACAGAAATCACCGCAAAAAAAAAGTATTTTCTTTATATTTCCCGAGATGGTAAGATAAGAAAAAAGTAGTGTAAATTATGAAAATGGATAATATATCTTCAAAAAGTGATTCAAGTTGTTGTGAAGCTCATTTTAAGTAGAGAGGACTGAGTAACAATTTTCTTATTTACCTTCGATTACAAAGATTACCTATTTTTTCTGACTATGCTTTTTGAGGGCCAATTACAGTCATTGTTGATTGCACTCAGCGGGCCTGTATCTCAAGGAAAAGGAAATAAGAGTGTTTGTTGTTTAAAGTACCCGAGAAAGTTTTAAAAACAACCCGAACTGTATTATTATTATATTAAGGCCTGTCACTTTTTGTGCAAAAATAATAGTTTCGTTATACTTGCCGAAAATGTTAGGCCAAGAGTATAACGCAACCAGGGCCGCATCTAAAGGTGCGTTTACATATGAGCACGTACGCGCTCAGCATACGCGCACGCATTCGTTCGCGTGCGTTGAAAGTGTTTAAACTGAAATTCATTTTTCAACCCATGGGGTGATCCAGTCGTTCGCGTACGATGTTAACATGGAGAATAGAGATATAGCCGCGGCAGCATTTATCATACTGTATAATTTAATTAAAACAAAAGGACATTGAAAACGTAGATGTCGTCATTGGTGGATAATCGAATTTCTATGCAAAAGAAATAATAATTTATTAAAGGAATTAGTATCAGTATGATCAATTCAGAAATTTTATAAGAATGACCAAGGGGCTGACTTTGAATACCTGCTTACGTTGGTAACACCAACGATAATGAAAAATGATACACAGTTTCGAAAATCTATATCACCAAGAGAACGTTTGTTTCGGGACGAAATAATCCCATCAGACTTTTTTTGTGCTTCGCAACAGTTTTTTCAACGCTACAATTGATTACTAGTTGCTGCCATGCTTTTTTTCGATCTTGAATGATACTTTTCGTGCCTAACGTCCCACAGTACCAGTAATTTCTCATACTGCTGCAGTAGCTTTAAAAGTTTAGTATTATTCCATTCCATCATTTACTGGATTAAATACAATCAACCCTTCAATCCTGTGCGCCACGTTGTCGTTTCCGTCCACACTGACCATTTTTCGAACCTATTAGTTCTTTGATCAACGTCTTGAAACCGACTCCAAGCCGATCGCGTTCGGTGTTGCTCGCGCACATGAAGACACAGAGTAAGCGTGCGTGCATAGCCGTTTAAACTTGAGCGTTCGCGGTGGATCAGTGCGTGCGTGCTCAGATCTAAACGCACCTTAAGATGATGTACACGACGAAGAGTGCGTCACGCCTCGGGACGCAAGGGGACCCGGGTAGCGGTTAATAGGGGCCCAGAGTGAACAAAATTTGTTTTACAAAATCAAAAATCATGATGCTTTAGTATGCACCCGCACTTCAATTTTTGTGCGATGGGCCCCTGAAGACCCGCCACTAAGCACAACGTTTTTTAATACAATCTTTTGATACATTTCTAGTTTTAAGTAACATATATCAAATGAAAAAAAAACACATCAAAATAAATAGGTGATTTATTATTTATTTGCAAATAATATGAATAAACTATACATAACAAAATATTTAAATAATAGCATTAAAACAATGAGAACAATATAAATAATATCTAAAATTAGGCTGAATATACAATTCGTCTAATGAAAGAAATCACATGCTGATTTTCTTACAAATTGAATGTCATGACTGAGATCGTGATATTTCAGTGAATGAAGAGTATTTATTTCATTGAAAAGTATTTTGAGCGAGCTCTGTAAATGGTATCATTTTTTTTTCATATTTTAATCCTTCTCATGCCTATTCTAAGCATATTCCATACATTGCATTTTTCATGATAACATACTTTATCCACTCACTAGTCATGATATTTTTCAAATCCAGCAGTTTACATGCGCCTTGGTACTGACACACAACAACAGTGTGGGTACTATTCAATAAAAATATGTACATTGTAAATAGTTGTTGAAGACATTCCATTTTTGTATAGATGAATTGTGTCTTGTTTTGTCTCTCAAAAGTTAATATGACCGTTACAAAGATTGCGGAAGGGCACTAGTATTTTTCATCTATACAAAAAGTCATCTGCTTGCCAGATGTTATACAATTCAAGGTGAAACCTAAAGTTTGTAATATTGCGAATGTACTTACCTCCAGATACGTTTGAACTCTAAACATATTTTGATTGCATTTTTTCGAAAATCGTTTACATAACTTTGTTGGGTTACTTGATTGATTGGAATTGTTTTCGTGCATTACCGATAATAAGACATCTGAGACTTATCCAGTGGTTTTCATGCCGATAAACCTCCATGTTTGTCTTGAATTACTATTTAGTGACACCGTGGTGTCATGTTTCTTAAAAGTAATAATAATAATAATTAATAATAATAATTTTATTCACGTAACATACAAATATAACTAAAACTAATATAGGTATACGTGAATAAACTGAATTTACCCACAGAAGAATAAATTCTTGTGCGTGGGTATTAACTTAAATTTTTACATAAATATACACATATATACGACTACATATATACATATATCATACAAATAAACACATGAATAGATGCACACATACACACATATACGAGTATATGAACGTTGGAGGGTTTTTACTATTAAATTCATTTTAAATTTCTGTCATACGTATCATGTTTGCAATTTGATGTCGATTTTTTTCAATTATAAATTTTTTGGTTTCAATTTTGAATTTTGTTTTATTTGAAATATTTCTTATATAATTTGGTAATATGTTATATAATCTACTGGAAAGGTAAGTATGACATCTTTGGCCTATACTTTTTGAGGTGAAAGGTGTTCGCTTAATGTTGTTGATTTTGTTTCTAGTTTGAGATAAGTGATCTAACGGAATAAGGTTATTTCTATCGTGAAATTGATAATTTATAATTTTATAAAAAAATTGTTGCCTAGGGTCTAATAGTTTTGCTTCAGAATACAACAGATGAGATGGGTATAAGAGTAGTTTGTTGAAGATTATTTTTAAAAATTGTTTTTGGATAATTTCTAATTTATTAATTTGGTTATCCACCCCAACCTAATATTGCGTAACTTATAAAATTTTCATTGTTCTTTTATTCAAATATTTGTTTAGATACTCGAATTTAAACAATAATGGTCTCAAATCGGTTATTATATGATCAATATGTATATTCCATTTTAAATGTGAGCCTAAATATACACCTAAATATTTCATTTTGTTTGTTAAATTTATTTGAGTATTTATATTATCACAGTTAATCTGTATAGATACAAAGGATGGTAATTTGTTTCTGTGATTTGTGAATGGCATGACCATAGTCTTTTGAAAGTTAATAGTTAGGCTTTTATGTCTGAACCAGTCTGCAATTATCGTTAAGTCTCTTTCAACCTTCACTTTTAGATCATCCCACGAGTTGTTATCCGAATAAATGATAGTAGTATCGTCTGCAAAACATATGATTGTCCCTTCAGATTTTAAGCTCAGTAGGCTATTAATGTAAAGTGTAAATAATAAGGGGCCTAACACTGTCCCTTGTGGGACACCGTACGATATGAATGTGTTTGCGCTTAAGGAATTATTTATTTGTACGCACTGTATTCTGTTGTAAAGGTAACTTGTCATGAGGTTATAATTCTTGCCTCTAATTCCTGAGTCGTGTAAGATTTCTAATAGTAGCAAGTGGTCTACTGTGTCGAATGCTTTGGCTAGATCTAAAAACACACACAGGGTATATTCACTTTGGTCCAGTAATTTGTATAATTATTTTGATGTCAAAAAAGAAATTGCGTCTTGGGTAGACTTGTTTTTCTAGAATCCAAATTGGTTTTCATTAATCAGATTATGTTTATCAAAAAAATTTAGAAGTCGTGTTTTTATAATTTTCTCAATAATTTTTGCAAAGTTGGATATTAGAGTTATAGGCCTGTAATTGCTAGTATCTGTTTTTTCACCGGATTTGTGGATGGGTTTTACTACTCCTACTTTATAATCATCTGGAAATTCTCCCGATTCAATTATCAAGTTTGCTATGTACGTTAAGGGCTTACTAATTTCGGATGAAATTCTCTTTAATATTTCTGATCGTATACCATCAAGACCTGGACTTTTTTTATTTTTCAAACTGTGTATGGCATTTTGTATTTCATTCTCAGACACAGGTTCTAAGAAAATCGATTGTTGTATACATTTTGTAGGCGGAATATTTGTGTTAGGTTTATTTATTTTCATTGCTAATCTTTTCCCTATTTCTATAAAGTAATTATTGAATGCATCAGCAATATCTTTACTTGTGTTAAGTGTTGTATCATGGACGTTTATTTCCTCAACTTTTGTTTCAGGTTTGGATGAATTACAGATCTGATTTATGGTATTCCATAGCATTTTAGAGTCGGATTTGTCGTTTTGTAGTTTTTCTGTGTAATATTTTTGTTTTGAAATGTTGATCAATTGACAGAGTTTAGTTTTATAGTACAAATAATTTTGTTTTGTTTCGTCTGTTGGATTTGTCTTATATAATTTATATTTCTCGTTTTTTTCATTGATTGATTTAATTAGTCCAGCAGTTACCCAGTTTTTTCTTGGACGGTCTTTACGATTTATTTTAATTTTCTTGGTATTTTTTGATATACTTTCAGTGATTGTTGCAGTCAGATATTTAGTTGCTGCGTGGACATTTCTTATATTATATAAGTTGTTCCAGGTTTCAGATTTTAAGTCTATTATTAATTTTTCATAGTCTATATATTCTTTATACTTGGCTTTATTAGGGTTAGTATGTATAAAATCTGCAAGGCTGAGGGGTAGAGTTGATACTGTACTATAGTGATCAGTAATATCTGATTTTATTACGAAAGCTTTATAATTATCATTTTCTTGTTTATTTTTTAAAAAAATGTGGTCAGCATATGTAGATTCATTTAGCGGCCAGACAAACATGGAGGATAATCAAATAGTTGTTTCTGTCAAAACATTTTATAACTGATAATTTTCCAAGATCGTCGTGCAAGTAACTGAAAGAAATGGGGGGCCATAGTTTAAGATATTCAAGATGAGTAATAACATCATTTTTTATGAACATTACGCTCGAATATCTAAAAGTTTTGATGGCATGTGGCAGTGATATAAAACATATGAAACAGTGGTGGATACATTGAAAAACTTCAGGTTTTTCTGAGTGACTTACGCACAAAAAGCCTGAAATGATCCATAACCTGATTTCACCTGGAATTGTCTTCTACGAAGGTTTCTAAACAAAGCTACAACATGCGTTTCTTAACGGCATCCTTATTTCGTAAAAAATGGCGTCAGGTAGATTGACTCTGCACTTCCCACGCAACGCTGTCATCACTTCATAAAGGATTGCGTTCGGTTGAAGTCGCTTAGAGCGAGCTACAAACATATATAAGAGAAAATTAAACGGATCAAGTCAGCCAAACGGACTCATGTAATTAGTCTATACTCCATTTAATAACGCTAACGCTAGTTTCTTCCCTGCCCTAAGTATCGACTATATGGCAACGGTGCTGAACCACACCAGTCAAGCATGCCATAAGCACCAGCCACGATACTATAACTTGAGATCGGGCAATGATGTGTGAAGATCGTACTATAATCCCGACAAAAAAATGAGATATACCCTCGCCCACCCCCTACAACCCGCAAGCCCCTATACAAAATGTTCTAAAAATGATATGGAGTCTATGAAACGCTAAAAAACGAACTTTGAGCGTTTTCAATTTTCTCTTTTTTTTCGTCCTTGGCATAGCAGTAAATTTCATCAAAATTCAAGCGGTACTTCCCAAGTTATAAAATAAAATGAGTAACATGATTTTCCATGATATAATATCAAGAAAACATAATCTCATTTCCGAAATTTTACGCGACTACAATATGTTCTCGCTAGTAGACGAAGTTAAAATGCACATCGTACACCACTGCTGACGCGGTAGCCTTTGTATCGATGCGCGTCGTGTTAACTGGTATACGGTGTGTTATGCTACTCTTTTCCGTTTTGGTAGCAGACTAGCAGGAAGGAAACCAGTGATGATGCTGACAACATCCATTTGCAATGATTTTACCAAAACGACAGCAAAACGGTCATTGCACTATCTCTGCATAGGTGGCGTTTGCGGCATATAGGTTACATAGTTTGTAGGTGGTACATAATACGAATTTTGTGTTTGACAGCAATTTTTACGCAATAAGGTTGCCATTACATAGATTTATTCTAATTTGGGTTCCATGCTCCTCAAAACTCACCTCCGATGAACATGTTGAGTATAATGAGTTTGAGTTGAGCTACCACTGCTACTTCCCCCACCACTTGGCTTACTATCACTCCTCACGTACTGCGTGCCTTGGGACTTGGTCTTCTTTGCGGTGGTGTCCAAGTATCCGTAACCGAACCCATAGCCCCCAATGGCCTTGGTGGTAAGATTGTCCCATGACTTAGGCTTCACCTGACCGTATTGGACGTAGATTGGTTGATCTTGGTGCTGGGATGAAGACGTCGAAGAGTATCTTTGGTGGTGTTGGTGTTGATCGTGCTTGTTGGACTTCAAACTTAATTGTCTGAAAATAGTATGTATACTAAGTGACATATAAATCCGAACACCCAGTTTAAATGGTTTTATTTTAATAAAATTTTGTATAAGTACTTAATGAAGCATAATAAGTAAATGATAAAAATTTCAAAATAATTGCACTGCTTTAAAGCCCTTTGACCTTTAATAATGTGTGGAAGCACCCTGATATGCTACGCATTCTCCAACGCGCCTAGGCATGCTTCTGATCAGGTGGTCAATGTCCTCCTGTGGTATCTCATTCCAAGCAACCACCAACTCCTCTCGAAGTGCTTCTAGAGTCTGAGGAGGACGTTGCAAATTGAGCAATCTCCTACCCATCATATCCCACACGTGCTCAATTGGGGATAAGTTGGGAGATCTTGGTGGCCATGGTAACAATGTGACATTATTATGTTGAAAGAAGTCTATTGTGACTCTTGCAACATGTGGTCGGGCATTATCTTGTTGGAAAGTTGGATCTGCCAGGGTGTCAAGATAGGGTAAAATATGGGGTTCTAGAACTTCGTGGATATAACCCTGCGCGTTCATGTTACCTCTGATGAAGATTAAAGGTGACATGGAACCATAAGCTATAGCACCCCAAACCATAACTCCAACAGTGTGATGAACATGTCTTTCAACAAAAAACTGTGGATTCCTTCTTTCACCACGTCGCCTTCTAACCCTGGCACGACCATCGTGCATGCCTAAACAAAATCGAGTCTCGTCACTAAAGACCATTCCTGATCCCAGAGTGACCGTTGTCTGCACCACTCAAGGCGATTACGTCGGTGTTCTCTAGTTAAAGGGAAGTACCCAGTGTGGCCGGTATGAAAACAAGCCAAAACTTCTCATTCGTCGGTAAACACTTCGCATGCCAATAGGTCTTTCGTGTTCTGCAAACCATTCATTTGCAATGGACCTGGTAGTGGAGAAACGGTCCCTTAAGGCCAATAATCTTAGGCGGCGATCTTCACGGTCTGTTGTTCTACGGCGGCGTCCAGTGCCCCTTGCTCTTTGCGTACGGCCTTCTCGAAGCCATGCCTGACAACACCTAACCACAGTGTCTACACTTCTTTGCACTCTAACTGCAATTGCCCGAAAAGAAAGTCCAGCTTCCCGAAGTCCCACTATACGGCCCCTATCAAACTCACTAAGTTGACGAAATCGTACAGGTCTCCGTACTCTATAGGGATCGTAACCGATCGTAAAGGATGTCAAGAACCAAAATTCGCCAACGTTGATTCTTTACTGCGGCTGAAATATTCATTTTTAGAGCGTTAGTGAATTAAAAAAAAGCAGTATAAAAACCGGAATGTCCAACTGATAAGGATGAACATTTTTTCACTTGTTATTTACAGTAAGATAAATACATTCACCAACTTTTATTAAAATAAAACCATTTAAACTGGGTGTTCGGATTTATATGTCACTTAGTATATGTAGTTGAGATTCTAAAGGCTTTGCCGATATTTTCAAATGTGAACCCTCAAATTTATAATATACCGGGTGTTCGACCCTCACCATTGGGAAGTCGCTTAAATGGGGGCAAAGTTGCGTATTTTGGTAATTAAGAAAATGCTGCTTAGGAAGTTTCGAATTCAAAGCTCTTTCGTAGAGAGACGGTAAGATCGCCACGTATTCTCTTCTACAATAGTGCATAATTAGAATTTCAATATGGCGTTTCGTCTCTTGTCCTCCAACATCAACTTCATTTTTTATTATGGAGGCCATATTGGAGTTTTGCACAGATGAATAGAGTTCTTAATTCTGATTCAAAAAATGCATACGTCATTGACATTGCCAAACCTGTTATTTGAAATAAAACAATTTCCTAGGCAGGGCTCGGAATTAAATTTGAGTCATTTGTTTCGCATATAAAGATTTATCCAAAAATCATCTTTATTTTTACCTGACTTTATTCGAGATGGGGTTTCAAACTAAATTGCATGTTGTCGTTGTTACTTATTTTCGCCGAAAAGATGGCGTAGTCAAACTTTCACTTCGAGGTTGCGTCTTTCGACTTCCATCACGAACTTTGTTTTTTCTTATGGATGTTATATTGGAATTTTGTACTTTTAAATGGACTTTTCAGTCCTAAATTCAGTGACGTGTTCCCTTAGTTGGCCATAAATTTGTTGTTGGATGAAAATTATAAGGAAACGAAAAGGTATGGTGAAACACAAAATGAAAATTTTATATGTATATCATAGCAGATGTTCAAAATGTAGCGGTGCGTTATTTTGTAGGCAAAGCTTGATTCTTCTCCAAACGTTGTATTCAAATTCTAATTATGCCATCTTGTAAAGGAAAAAAACTGGAAACGGTAATGCACAATTTATTTATAAATCCCGCTACAAATAAAGTCTAAAGACTTCGTACGTTTTACCGTTTCTGAGATCGCATTGGTGAGGGTCGAATTTGAAACACCAGGTATAATTTAGTTTCAAATTCAGGCTTATTTAAATTATCAATTCAAATCTCTTCCTATGAACTTTTGATCTCGATGAGGTAAATCTGGTGAGTCATTATTTTAGTGTTATGACTCACACAAGGCACTAAAGACCCATTTTGTGCATCAAAACTCAAATTCAGCTCTATGGGACTTCTCACTTTTCCAAGATTACATATATGCACTAAATTTCCCTCGCCTTTAATAACGGATATCCAACAGAGAAATTTTCCCCACAAAGTCCTAAAACTTTACTAAGAAATATTATTATAACCGAAGTATACTAAGTTTTTGTATGCTTGTAATAACGCAAGGCGAAAGTGGAAATTTTGCCACAAAAACCCCTATAATATTCCAGGTCCTATAGTTTTTGGGGTTTCCTAATAAAAGAAAATATTCAAAAATCACCTCATATTTATCAGCTCTAGAAACAATCGTTTCCTGGGTAAATTATAGGTGCATAGATTTGGAATCTGACGTCAATAATTGTTGACGCTAGCCCCTACGAAGGAGCCCAAGCGATCCATTTTCTATGTACGATCACCCTGTATACAAGTTGTTATTGTTAACTTGTTGGATGTTGCAAGTTATATGTTTGTCACTAGAAATGTTGCACCCTGTGGTACCTAGCAACTGGTACCATTCAGAATAAATCGTCGAAACAAGGTGTTTTACTGAGGGCCTATCCTAAATTGGGTCCTACAATGCTCTACGATTCTTTTTATAGCGATATTCAAATTCAGCGCCCCAAATCACACATCCAGAGGCGAAAACGGCAACTCTGCTCTAGACGAATCTACAGGTTGACTCAGAAAATCGTAGCAATATTCCTCGAGTAGAAAGTAAGTCTAAAAATCGATAGAAAATTTCATATAAACATTGGTCCTAAAATACCCTTTTACCTAAATACAGGGTGATGAAGATTTAATTTAGAAAAATAAAGAGTGGACCATCAGTTGTTTTTTAGCTGGTATTATTTTGACAGTTGGTAACACTTCCATGCTCAACATATATTGACAGATATATTGTGTCAAACTTCCGCTGTGAGCAATGGATCGTTTGAATCTTGAACAAAGGTGGGAAATATTGAAAAACTATTTTCAAAGTGAGTGCTGTGTTGCAGGAACTTTGCGGAAATTGAGAAGACTATTTGGTCGGAATGAAGCTCCGCGTCCGCGACTGGTATACGAAAATTCGTAAAGAAGGTTCGTAAAACTGGCCTGCTTGTGTTTAAAGGAAAGTTTGAGCGTCTTCGACTCGTACGTACAGCCGAAAACATTGCTGATGTTGTCCCGAGTGTCCGTGAAAACGCAAGAATGTCAACTCGCCTCAGAGCACAAGTGGGCATCAGTCGCACTTCTGTGCGGAGAATATTGCATAACGACCTGGGATTATTTCCCTACAAGCTGCATCTTGTGCAACAGTTGAAACAAAATTACCATCTGCTTCGATATCGTTTCTCTGTGTGGGATCTCAATCAATTGGAAACGGACGTCAATTTTGGTCGCCAAATCATCTTTTTTGAAGAAGCCCATTTTCATCTGGGAGGTTATGTTAACAAGCAGAACTGTAGAATTTCGGGTTCTGAAAATCCCCATGTCGTCATAGAAAAGCCAATGCATCCAAAAAGAGTAACTGGTTGGTGTGGCTTTTGGAGTGGTGGGATTATCGGTCCCTACTTTTTTCAAGATGAAGATGGTAACAGCGTGACGGTAAACGGGAAACGCAATAGAGACATGTTGAGGAGTTTTTTGTGGCCACTATTAGACGACATGCACTTGCACATCAATCTCTGGTTCCAGCAGGATGGCGCAACATGTCACACCAGCCGTGAAAAAATCGATCTTTTGCACACTAAGTAGTTCGGTCATCGCGTCATCAGCCGTTTTGGAGACGTTCATTGCAGCTGTGATTTGACGCCCATGGATTACTTCCTATGAGGTACTGTTAAGGACCGCTCTTACATTAACGATCCTCAACCAATTGATGTTCTTAAGGAAAATATCCGTCGAGCTGTTGATGAAATAGACCCACAAACTATCGAAAATGAACTGAAATTGTGTTTCATAAATAATCGGAGGGTGTAATCTTTTGAATAAAGTATCGAGTGTTACATATTATTGAAGGCAGCAGCGGTGGCCGCAGTAGTAGACTCTTCGGTCTCCTGATCAGTCGCCGTGCGCTGTGCGGGTTCGAGTCCCGTCCCAGGAGAAATTTTTCTCTTGGCTATGGATGTTGTGATTGTCCGTAGGTGGTAGATGGTCTCTGACTGTCGAACGCGGAGGTACCACCCGGCGGATCTCGTAGGCGGAGCCAGAATGTGTGCATGTTGCATGCACACGTGTTCCCTCGCCAGAGTCCGTGTGGCGTCCCCCTTTCCATGTATCCCCCTATAGCCCCACGGTACCCAATGGGTGCTTAGGCCTTAGGCCTTCGTGGTAGTTGGAGTATAAAAAAAAAGAAGAGTGTAGTTTTAATACCAATTTAAAAAAGGAACCAACGGATGGCCCACCCTTTAGAAACAATTGGTCAAGATATTCACTGGAATTTTTGTACCAGTGCAGTAGAAATTGGGGAATTTTGATCACCACAGAAGAAAAAAGAAAATATGCTCTACGCCGCTGACTATTTTGAAACATCTATTGCATTTTTGAATAAGGTGTTCTATTTTACAAGAGAAATTCATTACATACCTTTTGGGGAAAAATTGGTTTGAATATTAAGGTAAAATCCATATAAAAAATTTCGATGCCTTGATAATACGCTGAGGTTATTGGAGTTGATATTGAAAATTATATGTAGTGTATTAGGAGAGCAATCCTATCTCACCACATCGTTGTTTGAACAATATTCGTATTATGTCCTTGTTCTGTCTCAGAAATTTACAACACCATGTTTCCTGATAAGGAAATATTTTAGGGCCTGTGTTTATATGAACTTTTTTTTGTTAGTTTTGGATCTTCTCTAAAAATGTTGCCACGTTTTTCTGAATCACTCTGCATATCTTGCGGTTTCCTATGAGAAGATTTCCAAAACCTCCAACGTATCTGTGATCTGAACAAAAACTTGTTTTCTGGGTCTGTCAGTTCCATAGATTTCCATTTTAATCGGACCCATGCACGAGGTTTGGAATTTTCATCTACTGTTACTTTGGAAAGAAATTCTATTACTATTTTTTGTCAGATTATTATGCCATAAATGTTTCTTTTTGTTACTGAACTTACCTAGAGTTATCACAGGAACCGTCCCAATAAAGCGTATCGGTGCTCAAGGATGTCGTGTAGCTGTTCACGGAGCTTTCGCCCATCGTGGTTGGCACTACGTTGCTAATTTCACTAGATGTACAGGAATGTAGACTGCATTGACTAACTAGGCCTGCCCCGATCTGGAAGTACCTCCGCGGTGCTGAGTAACTTTGAACAGTCTCTCGTTGCGATGAGTGTTGCGCTGAAATCAAGACATGTGTTGAAACAAGGCGCTACCCACCGTAATGAAATGCATCGCAAACTGTCATGATGGGAACAGATGATCAAGGGGCTTTAACGGGGCTCCTACAATCACGAGTACCATCTGCTGAGGTAACGGGGGGGTGAAAAGGAAACGAGGGTGGGCAGGTCTTAGACGGTTGTCGGCGCTACTTTAAAAGAGGAAAGGATGACTGGGGGTGCGTACCAAGGTAAATTTTTATAATAACAGAGTTGGATTTCGATTAGCGATCTATCGTGTAAATCGTTTCCTATTTTGGTACTCAGCAAGTGATCATTTAGCATTGTTCTACCCTGGTTACTGTTCGTCGATATTGTGTTGTTGAATTGTTGTGCTGTACTCTTGTTGGTGTGATTGTTCTTGAGTGCCTTTTTTATCAAGGTTGATAATGGACAATAAAAGGTCATATGCGACAATTTTAATTACGAATGCAGTGAGTTTAATTCATGATGAGGACAACAATAATGTGGAGCAGTTCAACTCTATAACGGCAAAATACATTGGGGTAAGCGAATAAATTATTGCCAGAAGAGGTCATACCATGGAAAATGTGCTGCAGCTGTAGTGAGCCACAATACCCAGCGGCCTGTCTACACCACCGTCCAAATACATTTGCGTGCTAAGCTTAGTCCAACCTCTCTTATCACTAAGATGGAACAAAGACTCAAACGTAAGAATCTTGAAAAGAAACTCAGACCAAAAAAAGCTGATATAAAAATAACTACCAATTCGGATAGCAATTCCAAAGAAAATGAATAGTTTTATGGCGAATTCAGTCAAAAACCTGACATTAACTATACTAAGTGACATATAAATCCGAACACCCAGTTTAAATGGTTTTATTTTAATAAAAGTTGGTGAATGTATTTATCTTACTGTAAATAACAAGTGAAAAAATTTTCAGCCTTATCAGTTGGACATTCCGGTTTTTATACTGCTTTTTTTTAATTCACTAACGCTCTAAAAATGAATATTTCAGCCGCAGTAAAGAATCAACGATGGCGGATTTTGGTTCTTGACATCCTTTACGATCGGTTACGATGTCTAGAGTACGGAGACCTGTACGATTTCGTCAACTTAGTGAGTTTGATAGGGTCCGTATAGTGGGACTTCGGGAAGCTGGACTTTCTTTTCGGGCAATTGCAGTTAGAGTGCAAAGAAGTGGCTTCGAGAAGGCCGTACGCAAAGAGCAAGGGCACTGGACGCCGCCGTAGAACAACAGACCGTGAAGATCGCCGCCTAAGATTATTGGCCTTAAGGGACCGTTTCTCCACTACCAGGTCCATTGCAAATGAATGGTTTGCAGAACACAGAAGACCTATTGGCATGCGAAGTGTTTACCGACGAATGAGAAGTTTTGGCTTGTTTTCATACCGGCCACACTGGGTCCTCCCTATAACTCGAGAACACCGACGTAATCGCCTTGAGTGGTGCAGACACTCTGGGATCAGGAATGGAACAGTATTGTCTTTAGTGACGAGTCTCGATTTTGTTTAGGCATGCACGATGGTCGTGCCAGGGTTAGAAGGCGACGTGGTGAAAGGAGGAATCCACAGTTTTTTGTTGAAAGACATGTTCATCACACTGTCGGAGTTATGGTTTGGGGTGCTATAGCTTATGGTTCCAGGTCACCTTTAATCTTCATCAGAGGTAACATGAACGCGCAGCGTTATATCCACGAAATTCTAGAACCCCATCTTTTACCCTATCTTGACACCCTGGCAGATCCAACTTTCCAACAAGATAATGCCCGACCACATGTTGCAAGAGTCACAATAGACTTCCTTCAACATAATGATGTCAAATTGTTACCATGGCCACCAAGATCTCCCGACTTATCCCCAGTTGAGCACGTGTGGGATATGATGGGTAGGAGATTGCTCAATTTGAAACGTCCTCCTCAGACTCTAGAAGCACTTCGAGAGGAGTTGGTGGTTGCCTGGAATGAGATACCACAGGAGGACATTGACCACCTGATCAGAAGCATGCCTAGGCGCATTGGAGAATGCGTAGCACATCAGGGTGCATCCACACATTATTAAAAGTCAAAGGGCTTTAAAGCAGTGCAATCATTTTGAAATTTTTATCATTTACTGATTGTGCTTCATTAAGTACTTATACAAAATTTTATTAAAATAAAACCATTTAAACTGGGTGTTCGGATTTATATGTCTCTTAGTATACATTGATTTGGAGGTTGCTAAGCGAAAATTTTTAGGGAAACTTAAAAAAAAGTGACGAGATTTTGCAGATCGAACAAGTCACCAAATCACAGGACTGTACTTTGTGGCGTCTTCAGCGGAGGATAAGGTTGACAGCGTCTCGATGTGGTGAAGTTTGTATAAAAAGGCAGACAACAAGCTGTAAAGTTCTAATAAACTCCATCATATACCAACAGAATTTTCTACTAAGGCAATGCGAAAAGGTAATACAAAAAGGCAATACAAAAGTCATTGGACACGGCAGTTCAATCTTGTGGTTTGTTTATTGATCGCACACATCTATTTCTGGCTGCATCACCTCCATCTACCTATTACAGTAGACAAGACATGTACTTAATCCAGGTATAAGCCTACCTATTTATTGCTTTGCAAAACCTACCTAACTGTTTCCCCTTGTTTTGACTACATAAGATATTTTTATGACCCTCGTTCAATTGTTACGATCTACCACATGACCCTTGTAAACATAATTTTATTATTGACATGAATAAACGAATTTGAATTTGAGTTCTTGAATTTATTTTAGGAAAGATATAAAATTATTTGAATAAATTTTTTCTTAGTCGGAACGCACCGTCACGACGCTTGGACTGGCAGGTTGAAACAGTACATAGATGAATTTCGCCCAAAAACCGATTTGCACTTCACAGCTTACGTTTCATTTTTATTATTTCCAAATGAATCTCTTGCAGCGTGCTAAAGACAAAGTCCACAGGGTGCCAGCGATCCACTTTTTCGATTTTATCCACTAGGATCTTTTTAAAATATCAAGAAGTTGACCACAAATAGTAAGAATTTCAAACCACCATAATTCTTGCGCAAATACAAAATTTTGTAAAAAGCTCTGATAGCACCCTAGGCAATTATGTCCTGCTTATATCCAGAAAAACATCACAAACTGCAGAACACAAATTGAAGGTAACGGCGAAATGGGTACATTTCAGCCCCCCTTTTTAAGCAGTACAATTTTTTTACGTCAAGGATTAGGAGCCCCTGAAACGACAAAAACGGAGTTTCAGCAATTACTTTTTCTTTTTTGCCTATAGCACCGTTGCCAGTGGAGTAGAACTACAAAGCTTTGGCAGTGTGGAAATTTCATAAAAATCTGAGCGGTAATTTCGAAGTTGATGATGAGTGATAGATAGAGTTTTGGGTGATGTAGATGCCATATGACTTAAAAAAACATAACATCTCATTTTAGAAATTTTTTGCGATTACAATACTTCCTCGCCAATGGCGTGGGAAGTAAAACGGCTTTAAAATCGAGGAGTATCAGCGATCGCGATTATGAGTATCTATTTGCAGAACGAGTTATCTACGAGATATTATATGAAATAGGGCCACCAAATTATCTGAATACGTCCTTTCTTAGTCCGTACATTGCGCCGCAACGCTTGTGTTGGCAGCACGAAACAGTAGACAAAATTTGTCCAAAATACGATTTGTAGAGGTTTGCGCGCTTCGGAATTGACGCTTTATTTTTTGATATTTTTGGATAAAATTTTCACAGAGTGCTGAAAACAAAACCCCACAGGGTGCTATAGAGCCATTTTTTCATTTTTTCACTAGGTTCTTTTTTTAAAAATCGCGAAGTTGAACAGAAAAAGTGCGCACTTCAACCCAACATAAAACTTGTGCAAAAACAAAATTTCAAAAAGTGCTCCTATAACACCCTGGGCAATTATCTTCTCAACATACTGCATGAATTTCATTGAAAAATATTGAAAAATAGTGTCAGTTTTGAAGCAGCTGAACCCTTGTAAATGGCTTGAAACTCACTGCGTCGGAGCCGCCTTAATAACGAATTTTTAGAGAGTCGTACATTTCTGGTGAAAAAGGCTGATGGATAGGCATTGCAGAATGTTATAAGGGCAAAAATCAGGAATCAGCTCGTAAAAACACTAATAACAGTTCGTATGAGTATGCGTCTGGAATTTACCTAGTTCCATGATACATGTCAATTTGCACTTAAATTTCCTGATAATATTAACTTTTAAAACTCGACACAGAGTGACGCCTGTGACCGTTAAATCTATGAATCTTAGGGGCCAGATGACATGCCTAAAGGGCGGGGGGGGGGGAGTGGGTAGATCAAACGCCCTGAAGTCGTTCTTGCAAAATATTTATCGTTTCTTTAACTCTGTGATACAATGATCCGTCTTGTTGGAACCATATTTCTTATAATCCACATTTTAGGAGTCAAAAAGCTTTGCGTCATATCGCCGTCATGCTCCTCAGCGCCAGTAAGGGACTGCATAACCTCAAAAAAATTTCGGAAAAAAGAGATACGGTGTTTTTTGGATGTTGTTAGATGACATGTATGTATATGTATAAATAAAAGCCATGTCACTTATTTCCGTCGGTCTGCCTGTTTATCGATCCTTGGTATCAGTATAAGGCGTTCTATTATAAGAAACTTTGATTCCGGTAATAATAGCTATAATCACAAACTGTAACGCTCTCGTATAGCTGGGACGATGCTGACGCTATACAGCCAGAGTTACGCGACCGGGCGTGAGCGCTTGCAGGCTTGGCCGAGGATCAAAAATAATCGAGGCCCGTCTGGAAGCACCTGCTACCATTACACCACTTCCTTGGAAGCTGTTGAAAACACTGGAATGTTTCTTGACTCGTCGATAGGGGAATAAATGTATGATCAGATGGCAGAAGCAGAGAGTCTGTCACAGTCGAGATAATCTTTGGTCCCGAATGAAGACGGAATAATAGTCCAGTCGACAAGTATGTATTAATTAGTCGCAAGTCTAGTTATAAATTAGTGTGTAAGTGTAATAATTTAAACTTTGAACAGTAAGAACGGTATTTTCGTTTACAATATGCTACACTGAAACGCTGGTAAGTTCAAATCACGCCGGTTCATTGAATAATTTTATGTTCAGCTCTGTACGTCTTCGAGTACCCTATAGTCTAATCATATTAGCATATTTCCCCGAAATAATTGTAAAGTCTGCTTTTATTGGTGCAAGTTGTTCAAGGGGGTATTTAAAACAAGGACGCATGAAATGGGTGCACCAATTTTTGTGGGAAAACTTTTTATTTGACAACAAAGAATGAGAAAACGTGTTTTTTGGGATTTAATCGAAAGTGTTGACAGGAACGGAAAAACTTTCCATAAGAGATTTTTAGGTATTTATAAGACCCACAAAATGAGACCACACGTAAAAAGATCCGACTAATAGCAAAAATGTTATGGCCGAAAACCAAAATGCAGGTTTTGGCACTTATTGGTAATGCGACGATATTTGAAATTCTTCAAATTCGTGGGATTCGTACTTGTAAATAACAACAACAAAATTGTAGTATATTGGTCGAGTAGTTTTTTGAGAATCTCTAATTGTTTTTTCAGTTCCTGCCAACACTTTCAATTGAATTGCAAAAAACACGTTCCCTCATTCTTTTTTGTCGAATAAAAACTTTTCCCACAAACATTGGTTTTTATGCGTCCATGTTTTGAATACCCTCTTGAACAACTTGCAGCAATAAAACCATACTCTACAATTATTTCGCAAACTAGGGTTTTTTTCGTCTAATGTGATTAGACTAGTAAGTTCACTCGACTTGGCGGAAAAATACGCGCATATCCGTATATCTCCGCGCAGTCCATATTCTCGACGGAAACATGGGCGTGCGGTTAATATTTTACCATGGGTTGGTGGAAATTCCAACGGCGGCGTTAAGAATATTTGAGGCGTTTCTGTTGCTTTTTTGTTTCTTAAGTAAAATTAATATGGGTTTTGCGTCCTAGAATAGTATCAACCCTGACTCGCTGAGTCCGACCTAGTTTCTCCGAGTTATGCAGAACAAAATATTGTAAATGTTGCACCTATGGTAACAGTGGAAAACGTTCTATTATTAAGAGGTGTCTAGTCACATTAATATTACGTACCTGTTTGATACACAGGGTTTGTCCGGAAAGTAATAGGACTGAGTCGATTTAAAAAAATTTATTGAGCCAATCGTTACAATTCTTTAAAAACTTTCAAAATAGGCTCCTTCTGCATCGATGCAGCGTTGCCAGCGCGATTTCCAAGCATTGAAAGCGTCACGGAAGGCATTCTCCGGAATAGCCTTGAGAGCCGCGGTGCATGCTGCTTGGATCCCGTCTGTCGTCTCAAAATGCTTGCCTTTCATCGGCCTTTTCAGGCGAGGACACAAAAAAAAAGTCCGGGGGGGGGGCACATCTGGGCTGTAGGGCGGCTGCGGAAGCTTTGGGATGCCGGCCTTGGGCAGGTAGCTGTTCACAAGAAAGTTATTCACCCCATTAAGCGAGAACGTAGATTCGACTGTCACCAATATGCAGTTCAAAAAGTCCGGATTATTGTCATGTTGATGCAACAACCACTTACAAAACCGCACTATTGCTGGAAAATCGTCAGGTTGAAGGGCTTGTACACGTTGGACGTGAAACGGATACAGCCCCTCTTCAGGCAGCGTTTGCCACACTTTAGTTTTTGATACTTGCACTTCTCTAGCCACGTCTCTAGTGCTTGTTGAGGGATTCTCGTCTACGCGATTACCTCTACACGCGTGATCGTAACCGTCGGTTGAAGGTTGCATACTGACCTGACACACTGACCCCGACCCAGTTCTGTCGTCGGGTTGAGCTAGTGTCCTAGTACCACTCGGGGATATCGCGAGTCACGGCTACAGGACGGTATTCAGATATTTTTGATGTTGCAGAGCCCTTTATCTCGGTTCTCTTAAGACATTGGTGTATATGGTACTAAGAAAAATTGCTTATGTTTTCAAGATCTACACGTCGTGTAAAGAAAAACCCCAACTTTGCGAACACCCTGTATATTGGATACCCGGTATTAGTGATGTATGTATGAAAACAAATTTGGTTTCTTACCGGTGTTCTGTTGGGAATGTGATGTATTTCGGTTCCTCGTCTGTTGAGGGTCTGTCTGAGTCTCTTCAGTCTTAGAATCTCTTTTCTTGTTGGGGTCCTTGTGGCTTCGAGACCTACGTCGACTTGAAGGCACGCACCTGGGGTCGCAACACGGACTAGCTAGGTCGTAGGCATCTAGGCTTGTATTGTCACCGTTATTTGACACCTGCGAATAAGAGGAAAACAATACATTTTATAGTTTGTTATCGCTAAAACAACGTCACAAGTCAAAGGCGGACTTAGCGTGCATAGTCCCTCCCCCCTAGAGACGCCCAGCTCTGCTAATTCTTTCAAGAAAATGGTACATATTGCTATATCTTGGTATAAAATTACCTTGCTAGAAGTTCCTGAACAGGTCCCTAAAAGTTGGCTCTGGAAGACAGTTTATCTTAAACAACTTTTGAACAACGACCGATTCACGCTAGTCTGAAGTGATCTGAAAATTCGTATCTAGGAGTTTTTCGGGCCCCTGATTACAAATCTATTATTAAGATTAATATATGTTATCAACATGGCGGAACCAGTTTATTGGACTCAATATCAAATTTGGTAGGATTGTACTGAAACAAGCCTCCGAAAATCTTCGGTAAATAAGGTATTATGTTGTTTGGATATCACATGACATTTAGGTACATCGCGAAGAAAAATATCACTCATTTCCGTCGGTCTGTCTGTCTGTCTGTCCGCTAATCCAAGGCCCATCTATAACTTAGAAAGTTGACAAAATTATCACATAACACTACTACTATGCCAATGATGAAAACTTTTTGCAGTTTTTGAAAATCAATCCAGTGGCGCCGAAAACATAGGCAAGAATCGTACAAAATTCATTTCTTGATGTTCCATCAAAAAAATTGTATGGAATAAAAATTGTGGATTAGGGGCTCTATGGGGTAGGGGAGGGTCTAACTCTTTTTCGCGTTAGCATATGTATATTGTATACGCTTTCAATCTCGGCAATTCTATACACCTATTAGGCTTATTTTACACAACATAAATACCGATAAGTGTCCATGTTTTGTTGTTTCGTGTTTGCTATGGTGACGTGTGGTTAACGCCGAGCACAAAGGTGTTTCATAGCAGCGTTGTCAGATGATCGTCACTGCCTGTATGTCAGGAAAACATTTATATAAGCAAATTGCTTATTCAACTAGCAAACATTCTCTTCAATATAAGAATAATTAGTTACAAGATAGGAAAAGCACAGCCTTAAGTTACTTTTTCCTTATTTGTAAGTAGATTGACCTTTTGGTGTGCTGTACCCAAAATTGTTACAAAAAGGTACTTATTCTACAAGAACGAACTATTAGATATATAACTGAAAGCAATCCTAGAGCTACGTGCAGGCCTTTATTGATTAATCTTAAAATATTGACTATTGTATCATTGTTCATTTTAGAAATCTAAATTTGAAACATTAAATTTGACTTACAATATTAGACGAAAACAAGATCTTAAATTAGTGCTACCTAAAACAACACTTGTGAAAGACAGCAGCGGCCGCAGTAGTAGACTCTTCGGTCTCCTGATCAGTCGCCGTGCGCTGTGCGGGTTCGAATCCCGTCCCAGGAGAAATTTTTCTCTTGGCTATGGATGTAGTGATTGTCCGTAGGTGGTAGACGGTCTCTGACTGTCAAACGCGGAGGTACCACCCGGCGGATCTCGTAGGCGGAGCCAGATTGTGTGCATGTTGCATGCACACGTGTTCCCTCGCCGGAGTCCGTGTGACGTTCCCCCTTTCCCCTGTATCCCCCTATAGCCCCACGGTACCCAATGGGTGTTTAGGCCTTAGGCCTTCGTGGTAGTTGCAATATAAAAAAAAGACTCAATAATTTACAGCGGTCTGAAAATTCACATGTGTCTTCCTGATGCTATCAAAGGAATTAACAATTTAAATATATTCCGCCGTGAACTTGAACACTTTTTAATATGTAAACCATATTATACCATGTGTAATTATAGTAGGTATAGTTTAGTTTTAAGTTAGCTTTGTCATTGGGAATGATTGTATTCTTCAGACAATAAAGCTTATTTACTCATCTATCTAATTGTATGGGCCTGATTCACTAACTTGATCCGTTAAATTTTTTGTTATAAGGTACCTGCGGGTAATAAGGCCTGGCGGTTAATAAGGCCTAATAACCAAAAAAATGCTTTCAAGTTGTTTTACAGGCACACTACTGGTTAACAATTGCTCTTGAGATGACCTTGGATTGAACACCGACCGCGCCAAATTAATTTCCGCATGGTCGTGGTCAGTGCAATAACATATCTCGTCGAGTTAGTGTGCCTTGTAACAACAGTAAAAAAGCATAGGAAAAAATCGTAAGTTTCTCTTGGTACATTTTGTTAAATTCGTTTTTCTTAGCACTGAGAGTTTCCTTGTTTCATGCATCTTGTGATCACTTCTGGTCTGACTCAGATATTTGGGGCATAATACTTTTTATATTTTTTTGAAAAATTTGGTGCGTGGTGGATAATAAGGCCTATAAAATTCCACTATAGGCCTTATTACCCTCCCTTCGTATATATCATAATAAAATGTAGTAATGAAAAGATATGCATCTTTTATCACATTCCGTTCATTATTAGAGTTTATAGCTATTCTGAAAAATGTGTATTTGTCAGAAATCAATATTCTTTTCAGAGACCTTTATGATGCCTCCTAAAAGAAAAAGGGCACTTTGATCAGAGGAACAGCTAGTGGCAGCAGTTTGCGCAGTAGAAAGAAATATTTTGAGCACATATGCGGCAGCAGAAAGATATAATATCCCTCGAAGAACGATTCGAAATCATCTTAAGAGTGGCAATTTAAAGAAAACCCTCGGTTGCAAAGCCATACTGTCCAAAGACCAAGAATCTGAGCTGGTAAGCAGAATAATTAGATTCGCTGATAACACCACGAATCCTTCGTCGTCTGGTTTACAAATTTTGCGAAATGAACAACATTAAGCACAATTTTAATATTAACCTAAAACTGGCAGGCAAAGATTGTCGGTATGCTTATTTTATTTATTTATATAACAAGGATTGCTTCAAATAAAAAATTTAAATTTTCATGAAGAGAAACCCGATTATTTCCAAGCGGAAAGCGCAATTTACGAATCCCGCGAGGGCACAAAAGTTAAATAAATGTATAGTGGATGACCATTTTGCTAAAATCATTTGCTAAAAAACCACCCCAAGCGAATATACAATATGGACGAAAAGGGTTGCAGGCTGACGGTGCACCACCAACAAACTGTACTGGCACAAAAAGGGGCTAAAAGGGGATAAAAGGTTACATCCAGAATTAAATGATAACCTACCAGCAGGGACTCTTGTAGCTGAGTCAGCCAAAGGTTACATGACTAATGAATTATTTAAAGATTTCCTAAATCATTTAGCCAAATACAAAAGCCCCGGAAGATGCCTTTTGATCTTTGATGGCGCAGCTTGCCATTTGGACTTGTCAATTGTCGACGTGGGAGATTCGTTAGAAATCGATTTTTATTGTTTGCCGTCCAATACAACTCATGAATTACAACCCCTCGATAAGTCTGTACACCGCTCCTTCGAACATCATTGGGATGCAGAACTCTTATCATTTTTGGACCAAAATCCAGACAAAAAGTTAACAAAGGCACGATTTAATGTTATTTTTTCTAACGTTTGGTCCAAATGCATGACTCGCAGCAATATCACCAATGGCTTTAGGGCTACTGGTTTATTTCCCTTATTTCCCTTAGGGCGATTCCGGAAACAGCGTTTGCACCATCTATATTGTCAGCTGTAGCTCAACCAGCAATCGAGGTTGTAGCCAATGAGGAATGCGCCTAATGCCTCTTCCAAAGCAGCAAGTTCAAGAAAAGTGCCACGAACAACTGAAGGTCGTCATATCCAAAAAGAAGCTAAATGGTCTGATGACGATGAGGTCCCTCCTGCAAAACTTGAAAACAAGTTAAAAGAGACAGCCAAATATCACCAACCGTCAAGCAGCTGAAAGGACGCCCAGCAAGTTTTCTAACGAAGCCCGTTCATCTTCCTCGAAAAATATTGGAGATGGGAAGAGACATTTTTATTCACTGGTCTCTTCGTCGGATTCTTCTGAAGACAAAGCTGATGAAGTGGGTGAAACTACTTTAGACACTTCTTTCCATGAACTCTTGCCAACTCCAATAAATCAAACTGAAAAGGCACACCCAATTCGAAAAAAAGCAATAAATTACAGGGGAACTTTGGTTACTAAAGATCTCTTTAAGGAAAGTAAAGGAAGCAGTGAAACGATTAATACTGGAAAAAGAGCTGATTCGAAGCAGGTGAAGGCAAGTTGGTATTGTCATGCGTGTATGGAAGATAAAATAGCTGATATGCGGCAATGCACAGAATATGGGAAATGGTATCATGAAGAATGTGTTGGGTTGACACAAGCAGACCCTGATACTTTTGAGTGCCCCGATTGTAGTTAAAATCCTATCTCACACCGTAGGCATCTATTTTTGTTATCAGTGATAATGTGTTTAAGTTTGATTTCAAATACCAAATATTTCTACTTTAATAGACATTTTTATGTTATTTTAGTGATAGGCCTTATTACCTTACCATCGTTTAATAAGGCCTAGTTGCACTGTTTTTGAATTTTTTGTTTTATTTTATAAGTAGCAGAAAATATGTTACTTTTAAATTTATAAATCAGTTATTTGGCATTGCTGGACATATTACCAATAAAAGTTCAAAACTAACTACATGTGTTGTTCATTTTCTGAATATTTTTCTTTAGCTAGGCCTTATTACCCGCAGATACCTTACGTGTTTGTAGTTAACCTTTTTCTCAGATGAGCTAACTTGCCGAACATAATGCTCTATTGACCGATGACAGCGTTGCGTGTCAACCTACTTGATGTCATTTTTTGTATCCAATAACTAAAAATCTTATTTATATGTCCTTAGTATGCAGGATTTTGAAAAAGTGGTTCATCCCTATCAACCTAAATGAATTAGCTTTTTTCTATTGCCACATCCACATGAGGCTCCAACTGCTTACTATACTTTGAAAATGTCATCAAATTACCCAATGTTGGTCAGAAGTGTATCAAGAAGAACCGATTTCCAGCTTAGTTCTTTAGGGGACCTATATCTCTGTAGGGGAGTACCGCACCTCTTTTTTATTCGTGACATCTTTTTTGGTGTTCTATCTGTATCGGAATTATTGATTACTTCTTCTGGGGCGCCCTGTATATTCGTGTCGGTCTGTTTTTTGACCTACCTGGAGACAAGGATTACAAAGTTGTCCCGCATAGTTGTAATAAGGGCCGTGTGTTTTCTTAGGCTTTTCAGATGTCGTTGTATTTCTTGTTGTCTGGTTTCCCCTCGACTGCTTTTCAGTGGGAGGTTTTGAGGTATGACCTTGTTCTTTATACCTTGGTGGTTCAAAACTTAGCAGATATTCTCCGCTGGAACTGGATACGGGGTGGATCATATATCTGTGAACAAATTTTGAATTCCTCAGACCGTTGTAGAATGCAAAAAATTTATTTGCTCGAAATTATTACAGTTGATAAACTCAATAAAGTGCCGCAGCTTAATATCATTATTCAAATAATATGTATCCTGATGTTACCACTTTTTTCTGTGAACTAGAAGTATAAACAGTTAAAACGTAAAATTTCGTGATAAAGCTGTGACGTAATAATTTATTAAATCAAGCTTTTCGACCCCGTCATTAGGAAGTGATCTCAATTCTTCTTAGGCCCCCGCCAGATTTGAAAAAATAACCTTTTTTTTTGTTGTCTACAGTTTGGCATGAAATAGTCTTATCGGTATCCAGACTGAAAATCATATCCTGTTGACTAATTCTTTTAGCGGGACATACAGAGCATTGAACAGAGTTCTTTCAATCTACGAGTAGAAAGACAGGAGCGAAAAAACGAGGCAAAACTGCAACTGTTGAAAATGTAATTTTCCTAGGTGGGGAAATACCTTATTAAGAACCGAGCAAATTAAAAAATACAAAGTTTGTGACACGAAATTAAAAAACACTGAGTAATTATTGTACTGTGCCGCACTAGAATATAAAGTGCCGACTTTCAAATCCTTGAGGTCATAAACTCAGTCGTTTTACATGAAAAAACGTACCAGATTTGTATAAAAATTATCCAACCATCATAAAAATATTGAGTTTTACTTTTTGACATGTAAGCTCCTTACATACCTATAATGCGTGTCCATATACTGATAAGCGAACACCAGTGGCGGCTGTTGCACATGTTTCGTCTCGTGTTGCCTAGCAACCTTGGCCACATCCTCCGTGGACACGGTAGGCCTACAGTACGTCCCGTACGGCGGCTGAGTGGGCGTGGTCGCACCCCCTCCACTTCCCATTACTTCCCCTCCAGATGCGGCGCTAATCGATGACGACGCCTTCTTGCGGGCGGGCAGACTGTGCGTCTTCCATTTGCCTTCCAGTAGATTGCGTTCGCGGATGCACAAGCGGTCCAGTTCGTCCATTTTCGCTTGGAGGAGGCGTTGCAGTTGGATGTATTTCATATGGAGTTCCACCTATAATTGGGAAACGTCAGCGATTAAATGAAATGGTAAAGACGGGATTTCCCAGCTTCTGAGAAATAACAAGTACTGACTGCATCGTACGACATTGGAGAGCCGCAGCTGTATGTAAGTAGTTCATAAATAATCTTTTTGGGTTAAAAAGGGCTGTTAAAACTACAGTTCTGGGTTCAAGGTACCTCTGGGTTTTGTCCATTGGAACAATTATGTTAGAAGGGTACGCTTACAAAGATTTCGAAAGGAGGAGCAGATAACTGGATCCATATTCGCAAGATAATTTGTTAGTTATCCTATTGTTGAAGTGTTATTTGTCTGTGTCCAGACAACCGCTACTGTTTGCTAATAGCTTCATGGGACATCCGTCAAAAATTCATTCTGGGGAAGTGTTTATGGCTAACTAATAGGAAACTTGGTGGGCTGTATTTCCATATCACCTCATTTTTCAGTAATTTGGGTGGCTGATGACTTAAGGTGAGCACATTTTTCGGATACAAAATACAGAGAGAATAAGGTGTATCGCGGTATACCTAAGTATAAGAAGAAACCAAACAGTCTACATACCTTTCGGACGCAATCTTCGAATAGGACTACCATTCTCATTCTTGATTCACAGTTCTTGATGTAGTTCACTAATGTTTTGTGATCTGCTCTTTCCATATCCGTTCCATTTATGGATAAGATGACGTCTCCTTCCCTCATGCCGGCCCTGTTACAACATTAATGAATTATTAAGCATGCCGAGTAATTAACGACCTAGATGGTGTTCCGAGCTTAAATGGACATAGTGTAATAATGGTAGGTAGTATGGACCGAGGCCTTTTCATATCTGAAAATAGAAAAGTTCTAAATTTATTTTTACGGGTTCACCTAAAGACGGCAAATATTTAATATCGTTTATCTCAGGCACAAAAAAAAAATGATTTTGATAAAATTATGTCAGTCTAACGGTTAAAAGTTCGGACTCGGTTTTTTAAACTTTTTTGTATTTCTTCAAAACTAACACACTCTAAGCTGAATTTTGAAAAGTTTGACTCTGTACTAGAAAGTTAATGAACGGTGATTATTATATGGAGTATTAGTACCTATATCCGTAAAATATGAATTGAGAACTTTTTTATTTTCAGATATAAAAATGTCTCGGACCATACGGCCTACCGTTTATGTCTCTTTGAACCATATTTTTTGAAACCACAGTTTTTGATAGTCTTTATAACTGTCATTGAAAAATGTTGCAATATCATTCGATTTTAAGCGCCAGTACCTATCTAATGGAAACTGATGAGTTACCAAAAAACATAGCTGTCCATGGTTGACCGTCTGTGGTCGGACGAACAACAGCTATATTACTTTTTTCTACTTATTACTAGTCAGTACTGGGTATCATATCTCAGTACTAAGGAGGTTCATTACTCTCCTTTCTTGGCGAACATTTCGATTAGGTTGGATTATTCTTGGTACTAAATGTTTCCAAGCCTTATGGTACCCATTCACGTACAGGCGGACTGCAGTCCCGAACTGTGAACGATCTGGCCGTCAGTCCAAATTTCAGCATACACGTACAGGTGGCCGGCAGGTCTGTGCCTGCAGTTTACAAAGATTGCACAAAGTGTGTACGTGTGTGGTGGTTAATCGTCAGTCCGGGTCGTACGATAGCGACTTTCATTGTATTTAAAAATTGTGTACACAGTTTTGGTAAAAAATGTCTGATGTGACGTTAAATCAGCCATCGTTTGTTACTGGTTTTATTGATATTTATCGACAGTTACCAAGTTTATGGAATATTAAGTCAAAACAGTATTCAAATCGAAAAGAAAAGGCAAAGGCGTATGAGAAACTTATAAGTTATTGCAAAACCGTAGACAAAAATGCTTCGATGGATATGGTAAAAAAGAAAATTAATAATATTAGAAGTGCCTTTCGAAAGGAGCACAAAAAAGTTCTAAAATCAAAAAGAAGTGGATCATCTACAGAAGAGCTGTATGAGCCAACTCTTTGGTATTATAAATTACTGCTTTTTACGGCTTCGCAGGAAGAACCTAGGATGTCAGTTTCAAATGATGATGAGTCGGAGTCGGAGGGTGACGATGCCAATAATGAGGTAAGGAAATTTTTTGCAAATAAAAAAATCAAATAAAATCTTTTTATTTCTTGTCTAAAATAAATTCTTTAATTCTACAAAATTATCAAGTAAGATACATATTATAATAGGTACATTGATTAAATAAAATTTTCTTGCCAGGAAACTTTTCCAACAGTATTAAAGAAATTTTTATAATTCACTCTATTTTCTTTGGCTTCACGTGAAGCATTACGACCATATCCTGGTTGTAAATTATCTAATGGTCTTTCTGCTCTCCAGTCTCCCCTTATTATATCCCCTGTGTCAATAATTTCGGTGTCAACATCATTTCTCGTTATATATGAAGTTTTAGAACGTCTCAAAAAATTATGCAACGCGCAAGCTGCTAGTACAATTTTGTCAATTTTGTCAGGTTGCATATTAATTGGAGTATGGAATACTCGAAAGCGATTAGCTAATATACCGAACGCGTTCTCAACCGTGCGGCGCACACGGCTAAGTCTATAATTGAAAATAGATTCTTCTTTTGTTAAATTGTTTCCCGGGAAAGGTTTTAAAATATTTTCATGTAATGCAAACGCATCATCTGCCACAAAAACGAAATTTAAATTATGCTTTGTTACGTCATTAGAAGGCAAATTTAGCTTTTTTTCTATAAGTTTATCGTAAAATTTTGTATATTCTAAGACCCCTCCATCAGAAACTCGCCCATTACAGCCTACATTAACATATATGAATTCGTAATCAGCATTAACAAGGGCCATGAGAACTATACTGTGATAGTCTTTGTAGTTAAAAAAATATGACCCGCTGTTGGCTGGTTTAACAATTCGCAGATGTTTACCATCAATAGATCCTCCACAATTAGGAAAGTTCCATCTGGTTTCAATATTATAAGCTATTTCTTGCCACTCCTCTGATGTTTTTGGAAACTGTAAAAAAAATTATAATATACATTTTGTATTTTGTACTTTCAGGAAGATGTCACCCAGCATGATACTCAATTTTCACCGCTTACTGAAGATGCGTTGCAAGCACCGTCTGAAATATATCAGCTATCACCACCACAAACACCGCATCAGTCATCAACCTATTCACGTCCATCAACTTCCAGATCTTCTAATAGTGCAAAAAGAAAGAAGTATGGACAGGAAGAAAGTATCCAAAGGATTTGCGCTAAGTTGGACAGAGAAAATGATGAATGTGACAGTATTGGAGAAAATGTGGCCCATAAACTGCGCCGAATGGACAGCGACCAGAAAATGTATGCTGAATTATTACTTCACCGTCTTCTCTTCCTTGGTGTTCAAAAGAAATTATGCGAGGAATCTCATATATGTATAAATTCGGCACATAGCGTTTCATCTCATTATAATACTATGTTGCCAATGCAACTTCAATACAATCAACAGCCACAACCTTTAACTCCTTCTCCTTTCCAACCCATATTAACAAATCAGCAACAACAAACTTTCACTTCTTCGCAACACACATCAACTTACAATCAGCAACAAAATGTCACTCTTTCCCGACCCTCAGCAACTATTTCTGAAACACAGTACACAAATGCAGAAGGAGAAAACCTCGACATAAATATAAACTATATAAGACCTCTTGATAAAACTACCCCTGAAACAATGGAGGAAAGCGGCAACACGTCGAAACTTAAAGGATCTTTAACTGAATTGCTGGTTTTTAATCGATGAATTTACGAAACTTCAATGACTACATACTTAAAGTTTTGTTTTTACTTGTCGACTTGTTCATTATTACCTATTGTCTATGTTTTTGACAATAGAAATCAAAAGTTTATTTAAAATTCGTTTCTATAACACAAGTTGTTCACCTTTAAGTTTTTATGTAAGGATACATTTTTCAATAAAATACGTAGTTGAAATATTATTTTGAAATTTTACTAAAACATAAAAAATTACTTCAAATTACGACAAAAGCGAAAATTTTGGAATGCAAGCATAAAATACATAATTTTTAATAAGAATATTAGCGAGGTATTTAGGTTAAAAAATAAATACCTAGGTACTTTTATAAATGTACGCTTCTAAAAATTTTGGCTTTCAATCTCCTTCAACTATTCCATTTCTTTCTAAAATATTATGCACTGTATTCCAAAATTTTATGAACTTACCTTCATATATTCCTTTTTCAACGCCTTGTAAATCCATTCGCAGGTTTCTGGTATAATTTTTCCTAGTGCTTGGGGAGAAATAATGGCAGAAAATTTCAAATCCTCAAATGTACGTCCAGTTGCCAGATACCGCAAAGTCACTATTAACCTTTCTTCAGCACTAATGGCTTTTCTCATTACTGTATTCTGTCGTTTTATGTGGGGTTTAACTAAAGTTAATAATTTTCTGAAAGAAGCCTCGTCCATCCTAAGATAATTTTTAAAATCTTCGCTGCTGGAATCTTTCAATCGCTTCAGGAGTTTCATATGAGATAAATTTTCACGATCTCTTAACCATTCCTTCACCCAAAAACGTTTGCCATTTTTTCCGCGTTCATTAGTTAATAGCAAAATCAAAAGTAACAAAATAAGTTTCTTTTTTCTTAACATTTTACCACTGCTTTATTGTTCTTTTGTCTACACACTACAAGCAAGAACTGCGAAACTTTTGCGACGGACTGTGGATGTATGGCAAATAATGAGGCGACCTGCAGTTCTAGGACTGTCAGGCGATGGCCTGCAGGCCGCATCGTTTGTATACAACTGAACGTGTATGGTCTATATCGCAGGCCACGACTGCAGGTCAAATTTCAGTCCATTGCCTGCAGTCCGCCTGTACGTGAATGGGTACCATTAAGTAGAGCACGCTAAGGTAAATATACAGATCTTGAGCTGTTTGAATAAATTTCTTTTGTTTTAATTCATTACTATGTGGTGTATCGCTTTATATCAAGTTCCACAAGCTTTCGAAAGATGCAATTTCAGAAACAAGCGCGTAATTGCGTCCTCCCACATAATCCCAGATACCAATAACGAATGTCGATAATTCCCGGTGTCATGGGTTGAGTCCGCCCTATACAGGTGTTACTTAATGATAGACCTTAATTACAAGGGAACATTCCTGAACCAAAAAGTAAAGATGTCCATATACACATTTGTCCTAAAAAATCTAGTTTTCAAGATAGAGTGAAGCAAAAAATGTTTTTTCTATTAATATCTCAAAGAACCTTGTGCCGATCTTGATCTAACTCTAACTAGTTAAATACATTGATTAATTAGCTGTCGGTCAGGATGAAATTCGCTAATTACGGTGTCAGTCAGTATTATCACCAGGATAGACTGGAATGCGAGCGGAAATTCCGATAATAACTTAAAGTTCATGTTATTGAGAGTTTGGTGCGCTTGGAGCTGAGTAACGGTAACCATTAGTAAGACCAATTTATTAAGATATAGCGATTTGAGAAAAGGATGTAAGGAAACTTACCTATTTACTATGTTACGCTGAGAAGGCTTCTTAAGATCGACGCACACTAATGTCAATTACTTACTTGATTGATTTTATACTTCAATTATACAGGGTGACTTTGAAGTTGAGTCATTAATTTTCAGATAATGATTATAGAAGGAAGATAAACCAAAATATGTGTGTAAAAATAAAAAAAAAAATAAAAAATTTTTTTTACCTTGTTTTATAAAGTATCCTCCCGACAAGTATTTCAGTGCGGACCTGTATTTGATCGTGAGGTCCCCTGTGAGGTCTTAAGTCACCTGATTCACGAGCCCGTTGTACTACATTAACAAAGGCACGAGGGGTTGGTTGCACTCGATTGGGAAACCGATCCGCATAAACATGTGCCATTTTTTATTTCGTTTGAGCCACGCAACAGACACTATTCACACGCGACACTGACAGTGACTGTATGTATAACTGAACTGAATAAAATAATAAACTGTACACAAACATCGTTCCAAATTCCTTCGCTTTTTTGTTTCCGATGCGATGAACCGGTAAGGCGGATTATATCCGTTGTTGCCAAACACGAGCACATGATATTGAGACAGGGCGGTACTCAAACTTCCAAAGGGCTATAACTTTGTTACTTTAATTTTACCAGAAAAATGGTAAAGGAAAAAAACATTTCTTTTGATCAGATCTATTCACTGTTAAAATAAATGACTCAACTTCGAAGTCACCCTGTATATTTGATAATTGAAAACAGATCAGAAGAATCTGACACTTCATTCTCAAGAGTGTCAGACTGGAAAGGCTCAAGTAAAAGTCTGAAACTTGGATGGGGTTAAGTGAAGTTGACCCACATGGCTACGAAATGAAACAACTGATTATCGAGAGATAAAGATTGCCCGTTTATTAACTCTCAAGATGAAAAGATTACTTTAGAAAAGAAAATACTTTGTTGAAAGGCTGTAAACTATATGGGTTGTTGTGGTTTGGTCCACTGTCAGATGTTTTGAACTGCCCAATTATTTTCTTATAAAATGCACAGATATGTCTCCATGTCACATTTCGTTGTTATGTTTTCGATTTTCCGTGACATTTTCCCTCTATAAGAGGTAGATTTTTTTTTAATTTGAAACCCTGTATCTTAGAAACCAGACTTTTTAGGACATGGACTACGAATTTGGCTCAGGAATTTGCATTTCTAATTACGGCCTATCATTAAGCAACACCCTGTACGTGTATACACATTGCTTAGTACTTTAGGGATCCTGGAGTAAAAGACATACTTGTAGGCCGGTCCATCATAATCCACAGAGTCCACGTAGGTGATCATCTCAATTTCTTTTTCTCTCTTGTAATGTATCCCGTAACTTTGTAATGTAAAACCAAAGCTGTCGTTCTTTTTCTCTACGATGATGGTGCGCCTCCGTCGGTCCTCTTCGGGTTTTGTCACTGTCACGCGATCCGATTGGACTCGATCCAGTATCTGTGACTGAAAAGTATTTTTGAGGAAATTATTAATGAAACCATTTTGCGAAATTTTTGAGATACGTTTTCGAAGGGAATAGTCGGGATTTAAAGTCTTCACACCTGATTTACTAGAGAACTAGTTTTTGACCACATCGCATACACGTAGGGCGTAGGGGCTCCTGGATCTGTCATAGGAAAAAATAAAATAATTTGGGTGGACAATGGAAGGCCATGCTTCTTGTAATGCCAATTCTTAAAAAGTTGTAGTTATCGCTATGACAAGCTCGTTCACTTATATCCAACGAAGTCAAGTCGTTCGCGTTGTCATTTTGTTAATGCGGTTCCCTGCTCGGTTGTCGACATTAAAATTATAATCCGAGCATACATCAAAAGTTTTCAAGTAAACTATTATTTTCTGTAATCTTTTCAAATGTAGATTTCTAACGCCATCTAGAAGATTTTTGCCTCACATAAGAAGGATATTTTGGTCGTGTAGAATTGCTGTTTTAATAAATATTATTAAGGTTATTGGCCACTTGATGTCCATATAAAACTCTTGGAAATTATTTTTAAAATATTTTCACGAATACAATCTTAGTTTTACGATAGTGTTCAAGTAATGTTCATCCAATATTTTTAATGAGAATATATTGTAGGTATTTGATATTTTATTTTAATGAAATATATATGTAATATAAGCGGATATTCTGATCACAACCTTAGTTTTAAGTTGAACGACTGATTTATTATATTAATCTTATATAGAGCCTTGTTCCTTATAAGACCGTTCGGTAGAACTCAATAAAACTTGAATTAAAAATATAATGATCAACTCTGCAATAAAGACAAAATATTTTATAAGTCATTAGCAGAACAAAATGTTAATAATTTATTTGTTTCAGTTATCCAGTAGATAAAGTAATAGTTATTTATTTGTTAGCGTGACCTTCCATGGGAAAAGTGGGTAACCTTATACCGACCTTGCTGGTTGTTACGGGTCAATTAAACTTAAGCAATTTGGGGTGGCAGGCATAATTCAAGTGAGGCCATTAAAAAATTTGCCTTGAGGTCGAAATTGAGGTGGACCTCCGGAAGTCCTAATATCTATCTACGCACCTATACAGGGACTTAACTTTTGTCCAGATCATAGATACGCAGCGGTTTTTCAAATGTTTTCATACGAAAGCCTAAATCGTTGATAAACGCATTCCATCTGAAGTTATCCAACTTATTGCTTCCAAAAAATTATTCGCGATGAAACGAGATACTGTACTGCCATCTATGACAATTTGCCACAGCTACGTTTCTCTTCTCTGTAATAAACAGAAATCTACTTTGAAAAGGTTCTGTCTCATAGGTGACACTTGAGCCATATAGCTACAACGCCATATAGACACAAAGCTTTTCGAAGTAGAACTCTAATTATTGCGGGGAAGATAATCATAGCTATGACAGAATCTCATAGATGACGCTACGGTATCTCATTTCATATCGGATAATTTTTCGGACGCGCGAATACTGAGTTAGGTTGGCTATAGTTGAGGTCACTGTTCTTGGCGGGTAAAAGTAAGACTAGCAGTATCCCTTTATATATCTCCATCTCCCTCATACATACACATGAAACCATCCCGTGTGTGTGAACATTTGTTCAGTAAGCTCAGAGACATACGTTTTTTAGTTGTGTGTCTCCGTCTCGAAAACTTTGTCGCTACGTATGAGTTTCCTTCAATCATATTTGTCAGAATGACATACTTGACATCGGTGTGCAATTCGAGTTGTCCTGTTATCAATCTTCAATATAAAATTGTACAATGCCCGGAATTACTATCATTGGAGAAGGCCGATAGCTCGTACTAAATTTATTAGAGTATTTCCCTTAAGAGAATGAAAACAGTGGTGTTCTGTTACCCACTTCATGCGTACTGGAGAGAGTAGCAGATGCGCTAAGGATTAATCTGCGCCTATGGTACGGAGACTCGATCGGTTTACTTATTTCATATGGCGTTGATGACTTAACCGCCAGGAACGCTGACTACAACTATATCTTCAGGTAGATATGTTACTGAACGCTTAATTGCTACACGACGTTTGTTGTGCGCGCTTCGCATTTTCGCCAACTATTGTTATAACAGAAATAAACTTCTTACAAGTAGGTAATTTGGGCCCGATTTCGGAGATGGTCGTCGGTAAATCATCTCAGGTCGTCGATTTGAGGTAGACAATGGGTCGTTTGGGGCACATCGTGTATCCTAACATCAAACTAATATTAGATTCCGAATCAGCACATCTGATTTACGCTATTATAGACAGAAAACGATTTCTTGTAGAGATTTGATCATACCGTGCGAATCATTCACGGCTGAGGTCCGGGTTTCAATGTGTACGAGAGAGAGAGAAGCGCGCAACACATATGTTAGAAAGAGTTAGGAAGAACGAGCCCTCATGTAGCGTTGCTTGGCAACGACAGCGAGGAAGGTCACGGAGCACTCTTTCTAGCTCTTCCTAATACGTATTATCTCTCGTCACAATGAAACTCGGCCTACCGCAACCCTGAATGGTTCGCACGGTATAGACATATATGCTAGAGAGAGATAGAAGCCGGCCGGATAGCGAAGCTCATCATCGCGTTGCCTAGCAACGTTGACGCTATGGATTAAGATACATGTTGAAAATATGCGTAAGTAGTTTATTCTCTACCCCCAAATAATAGTTTTATTTTGAGTGTGCATATTTTTTAGGTCGAAATGAAAGGTCAGGATCGCTACAAATTCTGCAACATTGCATCATTGGTTCGCTTGGCAACACCGCATCTCGTACATTCCAATGCTATGTTTGCACCTCCATGATCATAGATGAGCGTACACGCAGGCAGTGATATTTGTTATATTTTGTGACAGTGTCGGTAACCCAGGATATTTTGATTTTATCACCATCGGGAGATCAAAGATAATTCCAAAATAAATAAAAACTAAGTCGCATCAAAATTGAAATAAATAATTTTAATCAAAATTAAAAAATATTAAATTCTTGGGTTTGACAGTAATCTAACCTTTGGCCTGTGCGAACATTTTTTGGTGTAACATATTGGGCAACGCGGCAGATTGCACGACCTTCTGCGTCACCGTTGTTAGGCAATGTGGTGATGACCTTCGCTCTTCAGCCGGCTTCTATCTCTTTCTAACATGTGTTGATACCTGTGGTTGATACCCACTTCTCGCGCTTCTCTCTTGTATACATTGCTACAAGTGAATGATACTTGCACCATTACGTAATTTGGAGTGTTTAATTCGACTAGAACAGTCAACTAATCGTGGCGCAAAATTTGACGCATAAAATGGGTTGAAAATTTGCATTTTCGTCTCCCTTTTACACAAGTGAGGGAAATTTGGTCCACTCAGATGTTCGAGTTCCATTATAGTCATCAGAATTATGTGAGGTTCCCAAAAAATGGCTGGTGGTGCTAGCATCAACTTGCCGTCGCGGTTGATGTTTTTTGGTCAGTTTCAATCTTCGCATCATTTTTTCTGAAAGATGACTAACATTTACAGTCGTGCGCACTGATATGGGTTAATTCCATGGGGTATTCATGTAGATAATTCTCAGTACACCATCGAACTTAACTTGATGCTCACCTGGAAACTCGATGTGTTTATCATCGCTATTTACGCTTACGATATTAGCTGTGCCTCACAAACATTATATCACTAGAAATACCGCTATAGCAATTATACCAACACATTTTAAATTTATTCTGTGGCGACTAAGTAAAGAGAAATATGAACGGTGTTTTTTTATCTAACTTCTACATACAGAAACTTTACACACCTATACAAAAGCATTGATAACCTCCTTTCACTTTACAATCTTAACATAATTATAGTGTTACGGTTTGAGTCACTTTAGTTAAGTTTAGTTTATTTTTTACGGTTTATATTTCCCAAAAAAACTTTATTTTTGTCGGTACATCCGGATTCTATTCAATATCAAAATTTGAACATTTTTCGATTGTGATTCAAAATTGCTTGTTTTCTCGGTTAAAAAAAGCAATAATTTCATACAGTTTCGTCGAACTTACTATCACATACTTATAAAAACAATTCCTCGTACATACAATATACATAATATCCAATTGTTAATTGCAGTTTTTATATAATGCATTATTATTATTTTCACCTGAGTCGCTTTTGGAAACAGGCTTTCTTTGGACGAACAAGGTTAAAAAATACGATGCAATGTGAATATCAATTATATATGACGAATAACATGATGATACTTCGTATTTATAATACTGTGCCTATAGATATTTTTATAGATTCCCTTTGAAAATGGTATATTTGATTACAGGTGGTTAATTTTGGCTACATTCTATCATCGATATAATAATTATTATAGGATTATCATGCATGCATCTTTTGGAAAATATCTTAAATATCAAAACTATGGAATACCAATAAAAATCAGCGAGTACTCTTAATTCTTAGTCTTTAAAGCGCTGTTTTATATGTGTACCCATTTCAGTCTTCAGTTATAGTTAAGCTTCGAGAATTCTAATAATGACAAAGTTTTATTACCATATTACGAGACATTCCAAGTTATGATGAGAGTCCCTAACCATGTTCTTTTATGACCGTAAAGAACAGTCCTTGGACACACTTTTTAAACTCGATCGAAATTCCAACCACTTTCAAATGTTGTTTTTGATACGACTAATCATTTGTTGCTATATATTCACGAACTTTGCACTAAAAAAACTATTAAATACACCACGTTCGGTTTCGATAAACATTATCAACGGACTCGCACATTATTATTAACATTATTCACAAGGAAACAGCGTAGCCTAGAAGTTTAGAATTACGATATCTGTGTGTATTGTACAGCTAAGCATTCGATTGATATACTTTACGTTATGTAAATAATTATGGTAACAATTTAAAATTAGTATTGAACGAATTGAGAAATGCGTGTGTCTTTTACGTACAAAAAAAAGAATAAGAAGACATAGGTATTGTTAATGAACAATACATAAAAAAATATCAGCTTGCAATCGTATTATTTGTGTCGAAACCCAAAAATCAGTGTGAGTTCGAAAAGCTAAAAAATATGATTTCGCAAAAAATTGCAAGAAAAGCATTACTTCAGGTGCGACTAAATAAATCGCAAATAGAACTTTAACATATTATCATAGTTGTATGGCCTAAAATGATCAGGAACCTTGACTTGGATAAGAAAAGTTTACCTTCATCGTCACTGATCTTGTCTAATTTTAATATACACGATATTTCTCCAACGTTCAAGAGGTGATTTTTTTGTCACTCTTAAGACTCGTTTGGAAGCTATGGGTAACATAACAGCTTTAAAAGTTGATAAAACATGATAGTTTCATTGGAATATTTTTATTTTTCACTCCATTTAGACAGAAAGTATTGTACGAGGTATTATGGTTTTTGAATGTTCACAATCTTCGTCTTTTGGTATTTCTGAACTTTCTGATTATTTTTCAACGTATTCAAAACATATTTTTCAGAAACCCCCAAGCTTCATTTTTTGACTTTTGTCATCTTTGTGGTTACTTTAGGGCGAAGTCATAAAATATTTTAGAGATACAAAAAATTAAAAGCATTGATGCTTAAAATTTTCGTGTACCTGAATAGATTTGTAGTTTGTATCATTGCGTTGAAAGTTTGCTGGATCAGTTTATTTAACTCGATTTTTAATGCTGAAAACCACATATATTCTATCTGAAGTAGTCCAGTAGAAAAACTATTTGCTATACAAATTAAAAAATGCCCCGATCTTTAAGTTAATCTGGTGTTGACATATGTTACAAAGGGCTGAAAGCATTTATAAAAGGACTAAATTCAGCCCTACAGCTGCAACACATTTATAAAAAAAATCGTTTACTTTGAACCGATTTTTATTAGCTAAAAACCATCTCGACAGGCAAGACTTGTTTAAAAAACCACACTCAAATTCATCCGTTGAGGAGCTACAATGTCACAGACAGACAGACACATCCACAGATATTTATGTTAAAATAACATCGCTTCTTTTTGCGCAGGGGATTATGAATAGAAAGATGTGAGAAATCGGGTAATTGTTGAATGTACGAGTATGAAGCCTTAATGGAGATTTTCGCTAATAAATATCATTTTTCAAAAATTTTGTTCGACTGTATATTCGGGAAAAATGGCTTTCCGAAAATTATCAAATGAGAATATTGTCAAAAAATCGGCCCTTCGATGTTTGCTCTATGTTTACGAAACACGGCAGAAAACAGACCTTTGTGCGTGGATAGCACCTTGATAGTGGTGAAACAAAACTCTAGTTAACCCTGTGGTGCCTGAACTTCGAGAATACAAAGCACAATCAACTTACAGGCGAGGAGGCAATGGCAGAAGCTCCAGAAGAAGCATTGATACAATCCTGGTCATCTCCTTGGTCTGCTAGTTGCAAATTGGAAGACTGGCTGTGAGCGTTTCTCCTCATCTTCTGCTCATACAACCCACTTTTCTTCTGGCTGACCACCTCATCATTCCACGTAACCAAGGAAAAGTTGGATTTTCCTATGATATCAAACAGCTGTTTAGCAGAGCACCCCGACGATGTCCGCCATTTTTGTTGGCAGTGACGGTGGAACGAGGCGCCGACGTCGCTAGGCGCCGATGCTCAACGGCGACTTTAGTGCCGTCAAATTAAGGTTTTACCAAGAAACGTCTGGGGAAACATTGATTTCACACATAGGGTAGACCCGGGCGAAGCGAACGCATTGAGCATCTTAATATTAATACAGGAATGTTAATGAATATAGAATTGATGGAAACGTCTGAATTGATTCTATATTATATTTGTCCGTGGTAAGAAAAAAAACTGCTTGTTAGTTGTAGCGTTGTAGCAAGGGGTGCCTGGCTGTAAATTTCTAGAACAAAAAGTTGTTTATATAATCTAATACGAAGTTTTTCATGCAATATTTTTTGTATGCTGGGTGTTTCAGAAAAGTGATATCGAATAAAGTTGTATTTCTTAAATGCAACACCCTGTATATTTTCGGCAAAATGAGTCTATTTTTTTCTGATTTCAGATATATGTATATGACCTGTTAAACTGATTTTTATTACTTTGGTGGAAAAAAATCACTGAAAATATACGAGGTGTTCCATTTAAAAAATAGAACATTATTCAATAGCATTTTTCTGAGGCTTACAAAAAATATTACATGAAAAACTTCATATTATCCCCTATAACTTTTATATTCAACTTTTTCTTCTGGCAGGTCATATAAAAAAGTTAAAGAGTGTCAAGTTATAGCCAGACACCCTGCACATACATAACAAAACCATGCAGATTATCCACTTTGACGGCCCAGCCACTTGAAATCGCGTATACGAGTATTATCTATGCTTGGTAGCGAATAGAATTTCTTTGTTTCGATTCTGTCACCGACATTACTTATATTTTTTAGATTATTTGTCATGGAATTCTGCCGAAAAATACAAAATTAAAAAATATAAACTGTTGTTACTCTTATAGGATATTTCCTAAACATGGGATGAGCGAATGTCTCTAGACATTGCACACAATATTGCAAAGACATAAGGTAAATGTCCCACACTGCGGAAAATTGAGGGACTTCTGTTTTCTAGATTTAAAAAAACTGCGGTTAAAACTTTTTTCTTCGTGAAGGCAGACCTTTCAAGTGAAGTTAAGTGGACAATCTTGTTGTTTTAGTTTCTTTAGAAACCCTCCATTTGAACCCTATTTTGTGCCTCGGCTGTTACCAAGATTTCCGTTGTGAAATCTGCACTGACTTGTGCTACTCTTTTGGATAGCTTGTTCAGCATCCTCCCGCTGACAGTAGACGAAACTCGCTTACTTGATAGTGTGATTTTCTGGAAGGTGGTTTTACGAATGTACCTTCTCGGTCTATGAAAACACCCAAGGTGGATTCTTTGATGTCCTAAGATTTCTTAATCCTTTCCGTTACTGCATGTAAATCAGTATCACTGGATTTTCCTGAGGTGTCTGCATGTTCATTGAGATCCATAGAATTGTTCTCTAAAATTTTATCCCTAAGGTATATATCTATCAATTTTTCCATTGTTCTTAATGGAAACTGTGTCAGGCTGATAGGTCTTGCAAATCTTTGGAATGAACACTGAATTGACTAGCCTCCATACCTTTGGAATGTAACAGTGTGCTAAGCACATTCTAAAGATTCTTGCCATGTGTAGTAGCAGTTCATCCAGGTCCCATTGTGGTAGAGCAGAGTGAACGCCGTCAATGCCTGGCGATCTGAAGGGTGAGGAGCATTGCCCATCTTAACTTATCCTCACTTAGAATCTGTCAATTCAACTCACATGTGAGGTTGACGTCCTCGTTAGGCCAATCACCTCGATCAATCAAAATTGAGTCTGGGAAATGAGTCCTTATTTGTAGGTTACTACTCTCTTGGAGGTTGGTTCTGGTGTTTCCAGACTCTCTTTTGAGCACACCAGTGTCATGGTCTGTAGGTCCCTTTGACTAACTTGAACCTAATTTCGTGAGTCAGACTTTTTTTTATGTCTTCCTACAAATACCTTCACTTTCATTGTTTATAATGAAATGATTAACAGAAATATCTATACGAGGTCTGTAAGTTAAGTGATGAGACTGGCAACGTAACGTTCGATCTGGCAACACTGGAGGTGCTGGGCTTGGAGGGTAGATAGGGGAACATGTGATCCGCCTTCAGTACAAGTTTGAACTCGTTCGAGTCATTTGGTTGACCGTAGCGATTTTTTTGTGAAACAGTTTTTCCTACTGTGTACTAAAAATGAATGACAACGGTGTGCTATCAGGTTTTGCTCCAAACTTGGGCACAGTGCAACGGATAGTTAGTGTTTTGTCAAGAGCACAGGTTTTTAGGTGGTTTAAGGCATTTTTTAGAAGGGAAAGGGTCGATTGAAGAGGAACCACGGCCTGGAAGGCCGTCAACTTCCAAAACCGATGAAAATATCGTGTATTGTAATTATATTTGGATAAAAATTAAAAAAAAATCAGTCTCATCACTTAATTTACAGACGTGGTATTTTAGTCAAATTAGCTTCAGAATTCATGTGAATTGATGAAAAATTGAATTAGACTTTTGATGCAACTCAAATGATAGAGAAGAACATTAAATATGGAATTTGATAAAATACATCACGATTTTCTTGTTTTTGGTGCTTCAAACAAAAACGAACGAAGTTATGAATCAAATTCAAGCGGATAACCAAATGGAAATGGTATTTACCATTTTGGGTTGGTATTTACCGATCCGTTCAAGCGAGTGTAGTTATCAGTTTGGTTATAAGATCCGTGACGTCACGAATCAGCTGTTATATGTCATAGTTATCACCGCAAAATTGTGGTATTTACCCAACTCAAGAGTAGTTTTATATTTCTGGTTATTATTTGAAATGTGACAAGTTAGAATTCTGCCGGGTATTGGATATTGTTATTGTACTTCAGCTTCATTTTTGAGAAAATTGATACAGGCTGACTTCAGTTTTACCATAAAGTGGAGCACCTTATTAGTTATACTCATTACGGTTGTTGGGGACACTTTAAATGTAGTTCCTATGCTTAACAAAGTATCCTGTGTAGCCATATACCACAAGAATATTAAAATATGGCCATATAAACTGAGTAGATGATATCCACCTGTATACGGTTTGCTAATATCTTTTTTCATCATTTCTGCTGAATCAATAAATGTTTTCTTTGACATGTGGAAAAATTTAGAGAAATGAAAGTTATCATAGCTACAAAGCCATGGTTCCATCATTAAAAAAAAATCTGGAAAAAACATTTCTCCCATGAATATTATGAAAGGTTTCTTATTTAAACTTTCCATATACAGTTGTAGACGAAAAAGCACCGATTATTAAGTTATAACAAAAATTATATACGCGCTTTTCTAAAATAAACAACTTGCAACAAAACCGCGGTTAAAACCAACGCGTTCAAGCGATTCGTGTAACTGACGTCATCAACCCGTGTGTCATCTTGAACCATATTATAACCGCAGCACATAACACAGAAATTTTGGTTATTCGCTTGGATTTGATTATGGACTATCACGAAGTTTTGGACATTTACCTTAACCTAGATATTATAGACGGGCAATTTGATCATTAAGGCTGGGCGATAGTTGCCATAGTAATATCCCTATATTGCAATAAAAAATATTGTTGGTTTAAAGGCTCCTTTAGCACTTTACTGGAAATTTGCCCGATTTGAAGTCCCGACAATCACAACGACACGGAGCCTCGCTGCTTTGCGAGTATACGTTCTCACGGCGTAACGACAATTATTGAACTGACTTTTTTTAGCCTGAATATCCCCACTACCGCAAAGCACGATTGTTACTCGGTATTGTTTATAACTTATGCATATTAATTTACTAGTTCGAGAAACAAATATATTTGGGTGTGCAAAATTAGTCAAAGGTTGAACTTTTTCATGAAACAAAATTGTAAAACACATGTGAGAGTTCGTTCTTCATTGAGTGTCACAAAAACTTATGGTTTTCGCTTCTGCATCATCAAACGTACGGTGCGAATAGAAAAAAAAATTGTGGTAAATTATCGTGAGATTTGTTGGGAAATCAAATTCTTTTAGGTATGCTTACGATAAATAGCCTTTCAAAGGTATGGCAGTATTTTAATTCAATTCTTTACAATGGTTCTAACAAATTTGAAATTCTAATTTTAAATGGTAAATTGGACATAGACATAGGATATAGCAGAGTGTTTAGATAACATTGTTAATTTCTAGGTGAAACTAAATCCCTTGCAGGGATAGATCAGTTTATCGACTTAAAATTTTGAACATGTACAGCATAACTAATACGTGTAAAAATGTTCGCAACTTAAGCTATACCCTATTTCACGAGTATCCATCGGGCTTTGACGTCTACTGAAGTGGACACCTGATCTGCAAGTGACATTTTTGTGTAAGTCTGCAACGTTGTCAATAATGAATCGGGTATAAATCTAGTAAAACTTGTTTGTGGCGTTTTGTTTTTGTATGCAAATGAACTTTAATAAATAAAAGAGCTGTTAGCAAGTACAGAATGGATCTATAGCGTACAAAAACCAAAACAAAATACGGCTCTGTCTACCTGGCGTTGACGGAGCCGTCAGAATTATGTATCCTGTGCCGATATGGGGAATTTTGAGATATTACTAGATAATCGGCTGTCATTCTGCCGTGATGGATGCTCGTGAAATAGGGTATAACTCCAATATGACTTTAAGAATTGAGATAATTCTTAAGAAAAAATTCTATGCCACTGACTTTTTTGAAAGATTAAATGCATTTTTGGATGAGGTATTTGAATTTACATGAATTTCATCTCTCAAGATGTTTTCGTCATTCCCTATTGGGGTTTGAGTTAAAATCCGTATAAAAATCTGAAAAAACACGTAGTACAAATGGATATATATATATATGTATGTATATGGACATTTTGAGTTTTTTTTTAATTTGAAACATGGTAACGTGATTAGGGACAAGATATTTTTTAGAAAAGGATCAGTTATAAAAAATGACAATTTTATGCCTCTTTAATTATTTAAAATAATACAATCTATATATTTAACGAGTTCGTGTGATGTCCTAAAGTCATTGTCAATATTAGTTTCTTGCTGCTAGCTGTTTAGATAATTATTTATGTATAGTGAAGTGTCGTGCATAAACACTTCCTCTTAGAGCAGTAGTCGTGAAATGGTTCGAAATTGGCTTACGAACAAAGCTACGTGATACCACGCCTCTTTTTCTAGTTGACAATTACCTATATCGAGTCGAAACTCGTATCAACTAACCTAAAAAGATGTTCCTGTCAAAGTCAAATGTCAAAATAACAGTGTCAAATAGTCCAATGTGTTTTTGCCAGTTTTTCATTTTCGGGTGATTTTCATCAGTGTACATGGTGTATGTGTGTTCTTGTAGAGTTTTGGTTTAGATTTTGACCATTATTTACAATTTTCAAGTGCGTATAGGGAGGAGGAAGGCATACGATGGCAGGCGGCTTTACGGAAACAGCTTTTATAAAAAAACTAAATGAGTTAAACAATTCTTCCCAGAGTATACAAACTCTTTCACTGTGGCTGATACATCACAGAAAGCATTACAGCACTGTGGCAAAGCTATGGATGAGAGAACTAATAAAAGGTAATCTTCTAATATTTCGTTTAAACATTTTTTTTTGCAATTACTTCCTGATTTTTAGCAAAAGATAGCAAGAAACTGACCTTTATGTACCTAGCTAATGATGTAATTCAGAACAGTAGGAAGAAGGGCCCAGAATATGGGAAGGAGTTTGGATTACATCTAAAGAAAGCTTTTGAGCACATGTCTAAAGGTGATGAGAAAACAAAAAATAGTTTGGATAGGCTGCTCAATATTTGGGAAGAACGAGGAATCTATGACAGTGTACTGATAAGTGAATTCAAAAGAGCTTTAGGTATAAATATACATATTTCTTACTTGCAATACTACCATTCTTACCGGAGCTCAAACTAGCCATACACACAGGTTTTTTCATTTATGGAATCAGTGCTTCATTCAAGCAAGTTTAGGGCCATATCAACAGTGATTCCTACAATTATTGTAGGATACCTTTATTACCTCCTTGATTTCCATAATTTTTTTTTTTTTTTTATATCGAAACAGCCGCGCAGGCAGAAGCCTAAATGCCGGAACACCGCGGCTGCTATGATGATCCCAAAGAAATTTTGTTAATACGATTTTTGAACTGCCTAAGGTTAGCAGAACTGGGAAAAGCTTCCTCCCGTAGTTTGTTCCACAATCTAGACACCCTCGGGACAAAGGAGCGGTCGTATCGGCCAGTTCTGGATGTACGAAGTTTGACACGGTTAGGATGGGACGCCGGAGTCAGGCGGGTCTGTCTGGCAGGCACATCGCGCGGCAGCATCATGGAAGAGAGCTCTGAGGAGCAAAGCCTGTTGGTGTAGCGATAGAAAAGAGCTAGATCGCCGACGGCCCGCCGGTGCGAAAGAGTCCCGAGACTGTCTGTTAGAGAATAGTCATCGATCAGTCGGACCGCCCTCCTCTGGACAGCATCGAGCATGGACAATGTAGTCGGGGCGGCAGCACCCCAAATGTGTGAGCAATACTCGAGGCTAGGTCTTATCTGGGCCTTGTATAGAGTGAGAAGGTCATGCGGTGAAAAGTACTTCTTAGCCCTAAACAAATAGCCTAGCTTTTTCCCAGCAGCTGCAGCTATTGAAGAGATGTGTTCGTGCCAGATCAGGTCCTCGGTGATCTGGACTCCGACCAGCCGAAATGAATGGCTCTTTGGTAGGACTCGACCGTCCATCGAAACTGTATGAGCGCTAGGACGCTTTTTGTTCGTCAAAGTACAGTACTGTGTTTTGGAAGCATTGAACTGTACAAGATTGTTGCGTCCCCAAGCAGTGATAGCCTCCAGGTCTCTTGTCAGAGAAGAAGTCGTCGCTAGTCTTCTTTTTTCCAGCTCAGCGGCAGAGATCGGCTTGTCACTCTGAATTCCTGCATGTAGAGTGCTGTCATCAGCGAAGCTGTGGATTGGGTTGATCGTGCAGGAAAGGAGGTCGTTGATATGTAAGAGAAACAGTGTTGGAGCCAAGACCGATCCCTGGGGAACACCCGCGTTGACGTTGTGGAATGAAGAGGAGAATCCGTCAATTACGACGGATATCTTGCGGCCAGAGATAAAGTCAGCCACCCATCTGCAAAGCTTTTCTGGGAGACCGTAGGATGGAAGTTTGCTCAAGAGGGCAGCGTGCCACAGCTGATCGAACGCTTTCGTGATGTCAAGAGCAACGACATGAGCCTCACCATGAGACTGGATGAGTTTACTCCACAGTTGCGTGACGTAAGCTAGGAGGTCCCCTGTGGATCGTTGGTGCCGGAAACCGTACTGCCTGTCGCTAATCAAGCTGTGACGTTCGAGGTAGTCCAGAAGCTCGCGATTTATGCACCTCTCCATCACTTTACTTATAACAGAAAGCAGAGCTATAGGCCTGTAGTTGTAAGGGTCGGTTTTAGATCCTTTTTTTGGGATGGGCTGTACATGAGCAAATTTCCAGTTTTCTGGGAAGGTGCCGGATTCATAAGATATCTGGAAGAGACGCGAAAGAACTGGAGCAAGCTCAGCTGCACATCTCTTCAGTACAATGGCAGGAATCAAGTCCGGACCAGAAGCTTTGTTGATGTCGAGCGACAAGAGCACTCGTCTTACGGTCTTATGCCTGAATGTTACCTCCCGCATAGTGTGGGGAACCCTTTGAATTGACGGCACTTGGGCGTTGGTGGGGACGTCCATGGTGGAGTTGGCAGCAAAGATCTTGGCTAGCACTTCCGCCTTGGCCTTTGAGTCGAATACAATAGTTCCATCCTGACACGTAAGTGGTGGAAGGCTACTGTGTGAGAAGTTCTTTTCAATCTGTTTGGCCAGCGTCCAGAAAGACCGACTGCCATTGCGCTGCGACATTACCCTGTGCCTAAGTTTTATATCATGCTGGGTTTTGGCATTGCGAACCGCTTCGTTATATTTGTTTCTGGACTCGACGTCGGCTTGTCTGTTCTCTACAGTGGGGTTTTGTAAGTAGGTTCTGTGGGCCTTGATCTTCTGCTGGCGAGCAGTGTCACACGATTTGTTGAACCAGCCGTTGGACCCTGGTTTAGGAACTTTCACTGTGTGAGGGATGTATTCCTCCATTCCGACGTGGATAATTTCGGTTATAGAAGAACACACAGTCGACGCATCCGCGTCAGTGAAACAGACATCTCTCCAAGGAAAGCTAGAGAAGAAGTCTCTGAGCCCCTCCCAGTCGGCATGTCCGTAATGCCAAGTTTTGCGGCCTGTGCGAGTTTCTGCGGCCTCAGCGGCTTCTGACCGAAACCTAACCTCCACAACACCGTGATCTGAGTTACCCAGGGGGGACAGGACGGCAGAGCTGTAAGGGGCAGGATGCGTGGTCAGAAAGAGATCCAGCAGGCTACTGGCGTGTGACGAGACGCGGGGGAAAAAAGTAGGGCTCGTCACCAGCTGGGTCAGCCCTTGAGTAAGAGCGAACGCTTCGACTGCACGACCTGCTGCATCGGTCTTATTTGAGCCCAACCAAAGCTCATTATGGGCATTGAAATCACCGAGAAGAACTACCTCTGAAGCGGGGTGATTGATGTTCAGGAAGTCGATCTGGACGGCGAGGTATTCGAGTAGGTCATCCCAGTTATGGTTCGAGGGAGAGCGATAAAGGCAGCAAATAAATTTGGGTGATGTTTTGGAGTTGAGGCGAAGCCACAGAATGTCCTTCCGGGCTGATTCCAAAGAAAGATCCCTGGAGCAGGAAAGACTGCTGCGGACAAAAGCCACAACTCCCCCGTTCTTTCTCAGATTGGAGTGCACCTCGTAGTTTGGGAAGTTGAGATGGTTAATCGGTGCAGCCTCTGAGATTTTTGTCTCCGCCAAGAAAAGCACGGCGGGACGATTGGATTGCAGGTAGTGATGAACAGCATCAATGTTGCTGTTGATCCCGCAGATGTTCGAAAAACAAATTTTATCTTCGATGTTGTTCCCTCGAGCCCACCCTCCACCCGGACATTCCGAGAGTGGAGTGAGTTTACGTCCGTATACGTACGTATTTTCTCTCCTCCAGGAAGGCTTGGATATTTCTAGATTTCTACTGTTCCATGTCAGCATCAGCACTATCCTAAGTTTTTTTTGAATTCTAGGAAATTTCACGCTAATAAACAGATGATAAAAATAAAAAGCATGAACAATTTCATGAAAAAAGATATTTGCAGCATAACCTCAAAATAGAGTGCACTTCTGAAGGACAGGAAAAACTATGAAAATCAAGAAGGCCATAAAGCCATCCTACAATTACTGTAGGTATGACTGACCATATGGCCCTTAGTGTCTATGGTCAGCTTTAGGTTACGTCAAGGCATGATTATTTGAGATTCTTGGAAGCTTATCATAAGTTAACCTAACCTTTCAACACACATTTTAGTCATTGGTTATGGACCACCAGCCAAGCGAATAAAGAAAAGCCCAACTAGAGAGAGAAAGAAGTCTGAAAATGAGAAGGTAATTGAACATTCTGATGGAACTATTGAGACACATGTTCACCTCAGTCCTCATACACCAGCAGGAGATCCCCCTGAGCCTGAAGAGTTGATCAAAGCTATTCAAGACATGGAACTGAATATTGCTTCATCAGATGAGATTGTACGAGAGAGAATCGCCAAGCTACCTCGGGAGGTGTCTGAGGTCTCATTGATCTCAAAAATAGAAGGTAATCCTAATTTTTCACAAAATATGTATTTTCCACAAGACATATTAAATTCATGAATCATCAAACTGAACTATAATCGTTGGTACAGTATTTTAAAGAAGCAGTATGAATGCATGTTAAAATATGTTGAATAGAGTTGACATTATTTCTTCTTTTAGATAAAGAGACTGCTGAAAAGCTGAGTATACAAGTGATGGAAGCTGTTCATTTGCTGAGTCAGTACAACATGAGGCTGTCAGCTGAAATGGAACATCGTAAAAAATTGGCTGTGATGATGCAGGATTTTCTGCATGTCCAGGAAGAACTGTTAGCTCAAGCTGAAAGAAACTTAGAGGTAAGACTGCCTATTGAAAATGATGCTGTTTGATCACTCCCAAGTGATATAGCAAACAAGGCATCCACACAAAGACTTTCATTTATTTATTTCCTCTTGACCAAAAGCATTGTTTAGGAATAGTCATACATACTGAACTTGAAGCTAAATAAAACCTATAGCTAAGAGAAAGCAGTCATATAGTCAAAATAACATTTATCAGCATATACCAAAATATTGCTCCACTCTATAAAATCTATTTACAACTAAAAAAATCTTTTAATGTCACATTCACACATTGGAGTCAACATTGGCACATACGTGGGTCAAACCCTTCCAATGTACATTGGTTTAGTGCTCACACATTGTTATTGGCCTGTGTTTGCCCAATATGTAAATGTGACATAACATATTTTTAAGTGTCATTAGAATATGGTAATAATTATTAGACCTTTTATTTTAGTGACCTATATTTACTTTGCAGGAATACCAAGAAAAATTACTGAAGGTGTTCAGTGTGAGGACGGAACTTCACAACCATATTAGGAACCTACCTGACTTGACACAACTCCCAAATGTCACAGATGGTCTGGCACCACTACCTTCGGCTGAACATTTGTTCATGCAGTAAGGGAAGAAGTTATTTTATCTAATATGTCATAAATGTTTTTATGATTTCCTCTGCGAGAATAATTTGGTTCATTAAGTACTTTCAGCTGAACATTTTGAGAGCTTCGTATTAAAAGATGCTGATATATCATTGGAGAATAATGATATCACTACCATAAGATTTACCACGCTTTCTTTTATTTGTTGTGAAAAAACTACTTCATTTAGTGAATCAAAGAATGCTACTAGTAATATCTTAATTTCCCAAACATTTTTATACACCATTTTTTGACACAAAGCTCTGAGTTTGTTCATATAGTGAGAGTTAATTTTATATATCATGTTGTGAATGTATTAATTCTTTTTTTTTTGTTGGAAATGTTTAAGTTCATTGGTTGATATATATTTATAATATCTCATGTATTATGACAAAAACTTTTTTCATGTACTGTCCAATAAAAAGACAGTTTAATATCTCCCACCAGAAGATACCCCACAAAGTTGAAAGCGGTACCTGCACGAAAATAAGCATACTATCCTGGCACCACCAATTTATGCATACATCTATACACTGACAACCAAATTTGTCTGACGGCTAGAGTTCATCGTGTATGAGAGAGAAGTGTGTATAGACACATATGGATAGCGAAGCTCATCACCGCGTTGCCTAGCAACGCTAACGCGGCAATCTGCCGTGTTGCTAATAAGTTACACCAGCTCCTTCTTTACGCTCAAATAATGGTTTTATTTTGAGCATACTCATTTATGAATTCTGCAACATTGCATCAGTGCTACGTTTGATAACACCGCATCTTGTACATTCCAAGGTAAGGTTTCCACTTCTATGCTCATAGTTGAACGATTTTGGACAATACCCATCTAGCGCTATTGAGGAGTGTCGTCCTGATTAAAAATAGTTTTCATCTGCATACACTTAGGGAGTGATAATTTGTTTTGCGTAATAGTAATTGTTACATTTTCCGACTGCTCGCTGTCGCAAAGTGTAACACTAACTCAGGATGTGTTGATTTTATCACCATCGGTGGAAATAAAAGATTATACTAAAATAAAACACTAAGTCGCATCAAAATTAAAATAATTAATTCTGATCAAAATGAGAACAAAATATTAAATTTAATGTTAGAACAGACCTCCTTATTAAGTTTGACAGTAACGTAACCTATTGTAGCAGCGTGTGCGAACATTTTCTGGTGTAACAAATTGGCGACGCGGCAAATTGCACAACCTTCTGGGTCACCGTTGCTAGGCAATGTGGTGATGACCTTCGCTCTTCGGACGGCGTTCTAACATGTGTTGATACACACTTCTCGCGCTTCTCTTTTTTGGACACATTGAACTCAAGCTGCAGGTCAAATTTGGTTCGCAGTGTATACCTTCTGACCACCTTCTTGTTACCTCTTGGACTGTTGCCCTATATTATATTACGGGATTTCCTTTCCCTAGATGAGAAATTCTGGGAATATGAAATCTAATTCAAATGAGGTTGAGGGATGGTGCTTCCTTGGGCGTTTGATTGTACAATTTTCTTTAAAAGAAACATTGAGTCTGTTTTCTAAGGGAAATAATGCTACTCTGCTTGGCAACAAGGCAGTTGCAAGTGAACATCCAAATACCATGGCTGGAAATCTTGGTGGAGAACTCACATTAATGTTATTGTATTATAAACCACTTTGCTGTTTATATGTAAAACTCGTGTCAGCATTATCCAAAATTCGAGGACTGATTTGTTTCAATGACCCAGACTATTTATCGTGGCATTCATGTGACAATATCAGGAATGGTTGTCCGATTATATAAAATTATTACGCACTGTCTTGTCTTGTATATGCAGGGTGTCTCAGGAAAACACGGAAGTATTTATATCTTTGTAGTGTATTAAGTTATTGACTTTTGTACATTTAGTACTGACATAGCAATACATACAAAAATATTATTGTGTCTGAGATTGTACCAGTAGCGTAGAAATTAAGTGTTTTTGACTTTTTTGGAACACCCATTACATGTTTAGTAAGGTGTTCAGTTTTACATGAATCGCCTCTCGAGAAATGTCGGAATACTTACTGTTTTTAGAATTTGAATGTTTGTGGTAAAGTCGGTAAAAAAACTTCAGACTCAGCTTTGGAAATACTCCAAAGTTGGTGAAGTTTCACCAAACTTCACAACCACGGATATACAGAATTGTGTCTAGTGTCTTAGGAGATTCACTGAAGGGTATCTTGGTAATGGGACATTTTAGGATCTATGTTTATAGCAACTTTTTATGTTATTTTTGGATGTAATGTCTTAGAAATATTGTCATGATTTTCTGAAACACCATGTATATAGACACCTATTATTTTATCGCAAGTGTAATCATCTACAGTATGTTATTATATATCTTACACTGGCGCCTCATAGGTTGTATAAATGACAACACTGGTTTGGTATTGCCTGCCTGGTCAGGCAACTTTCATTATGAAAATTCAGCTGTGTAATCGTTGAGGTAACATACATACTTTTGGATTGTAGATAATGTGTGTGTGTGACTAAGTCCAATTAAAAGAGCACATAGCTGACTGCATGCTGATTTTATTGTTCTTCTGTAGATAGTCCTTTAGGTAATAATTGCAATGTTAAGTGAGAGTACCTTCTAAATAAAGTTATCATTGTGGATGAGGTGTTTTATTAAATTTCGCCAGAGTGTATCCGTTAACCCTCCTAACGACATCTACTTCTCCCGTACGAGGTGTTTGCCAAATAAACTTGCGAACTTAATTTCACTATTTTCGTTCATTCTTCTGAAGGCATCCGGCAAACATTATTAAGAGGACTAAAGCCGCGGTGTCCCGGCATTTAGGCTTCTGCCCTGCGCGGCTGCTTCGGTATAAAAAAAAGAAACGGTGAGAAGAGAAATATACTCCGCTCCTGATATAAATTACTGGCGCGAATACCTCTTGTCATTTCTGCGATCCTAATACAGAATTTTCAATCACTGAATTTTGCACATTCATAAAATCATTAGACAAGATTTGCTATCAGGATAACAGAAAAGCGAGGAGGTAAGGGAAACGTACCCCGATCCTAATATTACAAATTACTGGCGCGACCACCTCCTGTCATTTCTGCGATCCCAATACAAAAGTTTCAGTTACTGAATTTTGCACATTCACATAGGCGTTTTCATAAAATAACTCGCTAGGCAACATCTATCGGGATAACAGAAACGTGAGGAGGTATTAGAAAAGCACCTTGCTTCTAATATCATAAATTACTGTTGCAAACACCTCTCGTAGTTCCTGCGATCGTAATACAGAGTGAATGACTGGCATATCGCATCAGCACACTTATATTTTTCTTAAACTGGATGGGCAAGATTTGTTATCAGGATAAGAGAAATGCAGGGAGGTATTAGAAATGTACTCTGAACGTAATATTATAAATTACTGGGAAGTAAGCCTCTCGCAGTTTCTGTGATCCTGATACAGAATTTTCTATAACTGAAATGAGCACATTCACATAAGGCTTTGTCATGTTATAAAATACACTCGCTAGGCAACAGTTGTCATCAGGATAACAGAAGCGCAAGGAGGTATGAGAAATGTACCCTGCATCTAATATTGCAAATTACTGACGCGAATATCTAAAACTTGTTATCAGGATAACAGAAACGCGAGGAAGTAAGGGAAACGTACTCCGATCCTAATATTACAAATTACTGGCGCGCCCACCTCCTGTCATTTCTGCGATCCTAATACAGAATTTTCAATCACTGAATTTTGCACATTCAGATAGGCGTTTTCATAAACTAACTCGCTAGGCGACATTTACTATCAGGATAACAGAAACGTGAGGAGGTATAACAAATGTACCTTGCTTCTAATATCACAAATTATTGGCGCGAATACCTCTCGTCGTTCCTGTGATCCTGATACAGAATTTTCAATAACTGAAATGAGCACATTCACATATGGCTTTGTCATGTTATAAAATACACTCGCTAGGCAACAGTTGTCATCAGGATAACAGAAGCGCAAGGAGGTATGAGAAATGTACCCTCCATCTAATATTGCAAAATTACTGACGCGAATATCTAAGATTTGTTATCAGGATAACAGAAACGCGATGAAGTAAGGGAAACGTACTCCGATCCTAATATTACAAATTACTGGCGCGCCCACCTCTTGACATTTCGGCGATCCTAATACAGAATTTTCAATCACTGAATTTTGCACATTCAGATAGGCGTTTTCATAAACTAACTCGCTAGGCGACATTTACTATCAGGATAACAGAAACGTGAGGAGGTATAACAAATGTACCTTGCTTCTAATATCACAAATTATTGGCGCGAATACCTCTCGTAGTTCCTGCGATCGTAATACAGAATGACTGGTATATCGCATCCGTACACATCTTTTTCTTAAACTGGATAGGCAAGATTTGCTATCAGGGTAACAGAAACGCGATGAGGTAAAGCAAACGTATTCCGATCCTAATACAAATTACTGGTGCGATCGTCTCTTGTCATTTCTGCGATACAGAATTTTCAATCACTGAATATCGTACATTCACATAGACTTTTTTTTCATAAAATAAACTCGTTTGGCAAGATCTGCTATCACGGTAACAGAAACGCGATGTAATATTAGAGATTACTGGCTTGAACACCTCTCGCCGTTTCTGTATTCCTGATACAAATGTTCATTTTCTGAGTATTTATTGTACACAGACTTTTTCATAATATAAACTCACTCACGTCGTTCCTTCGCTCCTAAAACAGAATTTTCAATGGCTAAGCGTCGCACATTCACAAGAACGTTCTTTGCAAGATGATACAAAATTGGATTTGTTAACTTTGTTATCAGGATAACAGAGACGCAAGGAGCTATGGGAAACGTGATTCTGCTGCTGCTTAAAGTTTACTCAGATAAAAACAGATAGTACAAGGAACAAGAAACGTTTGCTTGTTTCTCTTCAAACTTTGAAGGAGGTCGCACCTACGTTTGTTAAGTTAATTTCACCGGATTATATTCGTTAATCCGTCTGACGCCATCAACATGAGGTGCATATTAAAGCAAACCGGCGTTTTTCGAACACAAGTTTCTCTAACTTTACTGTTATCTGGGGGAATAGTTGTAAGAGGGTGGAAATAACATACAGCTATATTATCTTTGAGGGGTTTATTGAAGCTCATTTATAATAATTTATAAAATAGACATCTAGCCGAGTTAATATGCTGTAAAAAAGACAAATGTGTGGATAAAAGAATAATTTCAAAGTACCGCTATCACATAGGTACACCAAGGGCAAAGGGCTCATGTGTATTTTCATAGACATTATAATAATGCTTAACATAAGCCATATACAGCTCAGAACATGCAGGTTATTTTAATAATAAATATACTAGTAAACAAAGTATACAATAATAGGTTGTCAAGAATGCAATTCGCAAATTTTCTGATTTATGGGTTACTAAATTTACTGTACTTAATTTTCCGTTTCCTGAACTACAAGGTAGACCAACAATCATGTGTTATCCCTAACGTTTCGATTTTTCAATCATAGAGTAACTGTGACGTTAATTCTGACTGGTAGTTAATTTTAGGCAGAGTGCCATCTTTGGGTTATTTACAAAGTTGTAGTTACTGTTCACTTGCAGTTCTTTTTAACCAAAGAATCATCTAGGGCAAGATTTGGATATTGCATTCCTGAGAAACACAGATTTGTAAATACAAATAGTTACCCAAAAATTAATTCATTTGACAGATGATTGTGTAAAGAGAAAAGTCGATAGTAAATTAAACATTATATACAAAAAAATTTAGACATCTTGATATAGACCAAACATCAACAATCTATCAGAAAGTCTCTCATGTACACATATTCTACATTCACCAGCAAGGTTTTTTCGATGTCAAAGAGCATTACCAGAAGTAGACACAAAATATAGTTTATATATAAATGTGTTATAGTTTTGAAAGAACCCATGGACCTCAGCAAGTACTGATTTTACATGATGTGTGGGTTCGTAGAGTAAACAGTTTTTTGTCTTCCAGTATCGCCAAACCATTAAAATCTTCCAACAGTTTTATTTCAGTGAACATATCTACAAATAAATTAGGATACCTCAGTAGATAAAAAAGATCATTACTTGAAGTCCTCCTCCAGAAAAATACCTTGCTCGTGAACTCAACCAAATTATGATCAACAAAAAAAGCTTATGCATTTTCTGCCTAAACTCAAAAAACAAAAATACACAAATTAAACCCAAAGCACCTTGACGGTTGGTGAATCGGAAGCAGCATCTTGTGAAGGTGACGAGAACCATCTTTTATGTTGAGGCATTGAAGTGCTGTTTGAGGAGGGCTTTTGCCACAGTTTGATGTCATCGTAGGATCTTTTGGAGTCGTGTCTCTCATTGGACGGTGTATTTGGCAGCAAGGTAGAACTGGCAGTTTGGGATGAATTCTCTTGTAACATGGTTAGTGAGCTTTCACCATTGTTCTGGAGCATACTGCGGAGGAGTGCTTTCTTTGTAGATACCTGGAATTAATGAAAAAACTATTGACTCCTGTGCATTGATATAAATGTATATCGGGGAGGGGACGGTCGGCACCGGGTGACAACCACCCGGTGACTTTAAGAACAATGTACAAACATAAAAAAAATTGCTTAGATTGCGTTGCAAAGTAAATGCTTAACTGTTGACGAAACTGCTACAAAAATAGAGACACTTCGTCTTTATATCGAAGAAAAACCGTGGTCAAATTGTGGAAGAGGTAATAGATATTGCTACAATAAAATTAGAAGGCTTATGATATTCCAACAGAAAAACGACTTCGTCGTAAAAACGGGTGGTTGGTGAGATAACCAGTGATGCAGGACTCACACTGAAAGAAGAACTTCTAAAAGATATGTTTGAATGTCTTAACCAAATCAGAGTTGAACTCCAGAAGTCTCTTCAAGGTCCAGCTTCATTGCTCGAGATTGAACAAAGAAATACTTTGCTTTTGGCGAATACTGCAGAACTGAAATTAGCTACATCCAAATTTACTGATTTTTATGATGAGGTCTCAGAAACAGAATTACTTTTGGAGATACCAAGACAGCGAAGAAACTTAAAGCTACAGTTGTTACAGTTTCCGATTTGGTATCTCTAGATTTTTTAAAGTTTATTGTGGAATGGGATTTTACAGAATCTCTTAATAAATCTAATGATTGCACTAAAAGTGTTCATGACGGTTTGCGTGTCCATAGCTTCATGTGAAAGGAGTTTCAGTAAAATTAATAAAAAACCATTTGCGGCCAACAATGACCCAATCGCGGCTTAGCAATCTTGGCATATTAGCCATCGAACACGAGGCAATACAAAATATACATACACTTTGATGAAGTTATTTCTGAATTCGCAGCTGTCAAAGCTAGAAAGAAGAGATTTTAATATAATAATATATTAATTTATAGATAAAAATATTTTTTCCGTCTTAGTTTTTATTGTGTTTTGTTATTTATTCAATATTTTAAATATAAATATTGAATGATCCATGACGTATATAAATCATATAAAATTTATTGCTTTTGAATTTCGAACCACCAACTTCCACACCGGGTGCCACCCAAGGCAGCTACGCCACTGATGTATATCGAAACTTTTTGTGATCTTATTTTTTTTATTGCTACGTCCTAAGATAACTAGAAAGTCAAAAAGGTAAAAAATAACAAAATTCTCATTTTGTCTAAATTTCTATAGAAAAATGTTTGTTCGACAACGCCTAAAATTAGCTGGAAACTCGTAATTTTCCTGGTTTCGAAATGTTTCATGTATCTATCTAGAGAAAATTGCGTTTTTAATTACCGAAATGGATTGTCAACTGTCATCACAGAGAATGTTATTTTCGACACATTTGATGGAAGACTACATACGTTCATTGCAAAAGTGGAGTCACATTCTTAGGACAGAATGTGGAAGAACTAACTATGCTACACTAGAACTTATTTATATTGGCCCAAAATTTTACGATTGCACTATGATACATTAGTCAGCGTATTCGAAAAATACACGGATATATTTTAGAGGGTGACTCCTTGTTAAAAAAAATAGGAAAGAAGTTTCTATAAACATGGGTTAGAAAATACAGAGTTTTCAAGATACTGGGTGATAAATTAGAAAAATATATATTTATGGGAACACCTTAAGACGATGGTTTACGCTATTTCCATAGAAAGAATAGAAGAATTAAATAAATAAAATCGTAAATGCTTGCGAAGGAATAAGAAACAGAATTTAAAGATTAGCTCGAGATCGTCGTTCAATGATTCGTCCAGTGAGAAGTTGTACGGAAAAGGATGGTGGGCATTTCCAACATTTGTTGTAGTGTACTTTATGTCATCGTACCTATTGGAAAGTTGCAATAACACTCTTTCTTAGATTTTTTTCGGATTCTTTGTGTTCCAATGCACTTGCGATTTCTTTAGCAAAAATTAATAAACCGATTTTGTTCAGTGACATGCAAGAAAACGTTTTATATTTTTTTCTCGGAAACGAAGTGAGATACGAAAAAAATACACAAGGCAAATAAGTTGAATTGTTAGATGCTGTCTGAAACAACAGTCAGCGATTTTTTGAAACCCCTGATTCCTCAAATAGAGTTTGAAGGCGTTTTGAAGTAATCCGTTTTTTCGCCTCATAACGCTGTCGTCACTGCAACGATTTTCAGAAGCTATATAGATAGTCGTTGGCATGATAGTAAGTAGAAAGCTTGTCCCAAAATCTCAATAAGACCCGAGCAATACTCTTCGAGTTATGGAGGGGCCAAATATTACCGTAAGGACAATGACAGATAGACAAACAGACGGAAAGAGTGCAAGCCCCTGCAACCTCCCACCCCTAGTTGTTAACCTCCAGAAAAAAATCTGAAAATGATCAGGAGAAATTTAAACATCAAAACACGAAGTTTTAGCGATTTTTATTTTTTTGTCCTTAGCTCCGCCAGCACCGGATCGATTTTCAAACTGCAAAGCTTGGTCGACTTTGGCTTAGTAGTAACCTTGTGTGAAAGATTAATTAAAATCTGAGTGGTACTTCCCAAATTATAGAAGGGCCAAGCATTAGCGGACAAACTCACAGACAGACAGAGCGAAGGAAATGAGTGACAAGGTTTTTTTCTTATCCCTATGTCATATGATAACTCAAAAACATAACATCTCACTTCCGAATTTTTTTTTTTTGGTTTCAATACATCCACGCGAGTGGCACGAGAGGTAAAAAAGAAAAAACAATATACATTTATAGGACCTATTTTAAGGCAACTTGGTTTTACATGATCATTTTATTTTAAAATTGGAAGACCCCGACCAAGACATATTGCTCGCTCCGTAACCATGTAGATGAAATCTTCTTACCTCATCTGTCATGGTGGAGTTGATAACTGGAAGCCCAACTTCTTGGAAGGAGTTCATCGATGAAAATCCGCTCTCATCCTCAACCGAGCTGACGCTTCCTGCAGTTCTTTTCTCTCCTTTACCCTTCTCCTCCGTATCGCTGCCCGCCACTGATCCTCTAGCAGAGTCCGTTCCTTTGTGGTGCATGTTCTTGGAGTACCTTCTTACATCTCCAGGCTGCAGGGAGAGTTTTCTGTTGAAAGCAGCAGACAGCTTGGCTTCGTTTTCAGGTAGGATCAACTTGGGGCTAAGAGAAAATGACGTGGCCCGCTGAGGTCTAAAAAGAAAAAATTGCATCAATGATATTGATTCTATACTTTCCACGCATGCGTTACATCCTCTGATACAAGAGTTCACGTAGAGCAATTCACCCAAAATTTCAAACTGCTCAAATGCAATCGAAACTTAAAAATTTAGTTATGTTCACTTAAGATATTGTGAAGCTCCACAACTCAAACTAGAAAAATATATTATTACTGTTGCAGTAGCAAATGCATGGAAAATATGTATGACAATTATGTCTAACAGGTAAGTAGCATTACTTGGATCAAAAGCTTCAGTAGGTCTCTCACTAATATAAAAGACATGACATATTCACCCTCCGCCCCTTAACCACCACGATCCAATTTCGAATTTGAGGAAAAACTACTAAAAATAAATAAGAGTCTTAGAAAGATAACAAAGCGAAGTTTCAGCGATTTTAATTTTTGTCATCGTTTGCCTGTAACTCCACCTAAATCAATTCTCAAAACTCCTTTTCGTACTTTCGTATAGTTGTAATCTTGTGTTGAAACCTCATCAAAATCTGACAAACAGACAGACAGACCGACGGAAATGATTAACATACATACATATAGAATATTTTCAATATGTCGAGTGTTACCTAATGTATTCTAGTGTCAAAATATAAGGGGACGAGTTTAGGGTCCATTCTAAGTAGAAAACTTCATATGAACGTATGTCCTAAACGTTTTAACTTTTAAGATACAGGGTCAAAGTTTTCGAAAATAAATTATTAATACCTGTAAACACCACTTTAGACATTTTAATGAAATTTGGAATACACGTACTATGTATCTATAGGAATGTACCATTTTTTTTTATTTTCCATCAGTGGCGGTTGTACGGAAGTTCACTTGTCTATTTTGGCAAACATTCATGGTACTCTCTTAAAATAAAAATTTTATCGCTTATTTTTTTCAATCCGATGCACGGTTTTCGATGAAAAGAATAAAATTTCTTTATGACAATATCACCATGCAGATAAATAACTTTTAATTATTAAGGCGAAAGCTTGCGTTGGACAAAAAAATTCTATTGATAAAATCTGCTAATAAATGAATATAGATTTCTTTTTTTTTACGAAGTCAGTGGATAACTTTACCTCCCTTCATCTGAGAAATTAAGACGTATAGGACATACGTTCATATGGTTTTCTTCTTCAAGTTGACCCAAAAATCGCTCCCTTAAATGTTTTCATTCAATTAGGAAATACCCTGAATTGGAAGAAATTAATATTCGGAAATTTCAAATATATGAAGGAGAACCATAATTTCTAATACTATGTCCTATGTACGGAAAACTGTTGGTTATATCCGTTTTCTCCCACTCATTCCTAAAGATACCTAGTTGGAATGGTTTTTAAGTCAGTACTCACCTGAGTTCTGGATTTGGAAACTCTCTTGCAAGCTGCGCGAGGAACTCCACGTCGTTTTCTATTTGAGGTTCAACTTGGCAAAGGTCAGGCTCTTGGGTGTTCAACAGAGATTGAGCGGTCCGTAAGAGCCTGAACGCCTCTTGAGATAATTTTTCTGGCGGGATTTCTTCTGCGGAGGGCTCTTCTGGTTTATTTTGTTGCCTGAAATTAATCAGGGATATTAGAAAAAGAAATACCACGGGACGAAGTGCAAAAAATTTCAATTGGCGATAAAACGCGAAGATAGATGTAAACCACGATCTAGATGAAACTTCACTTCTTGAGTCATTCGGGGGCTTAGAATCCGAGGCCGACGTTATTTTCGGTAATGGCACGGTCAAGCAGCCCTTATAGCAGCTCTTTTTCTGTAACACGTTCAGATTCACGATAACTGTTACTAATATGTTTTTCATAGCCTTATTCGAATTTAGCACCTCAAATTAGCGATGTATACTAGTGTCGTTCACTTGCATCTACGGAAAACGAAAATGGAGAAGCATCGGAATGCTGCTTACTAGTTAAGACGTATTAAGGAAACATTTCCAAAAACCTTTGAGTATCGTCAGCATACATCTGTATATTCCAACCCTCAAAATCTGCCATGCTGTCTGGTGTACAAGTTAAAGAGTAAAGGTCCCAATAACAAACTCTGGGGAACACCTGACGTTACAATTCTTGGGTGATTTGCTGACTTGTCATGCTATTTTTTTATTGGGACCATTTTTCCACTTAATTCGGGCCCAAGACACTTTAGACTTTTTTGATAGCCATATTCGGTTTCAGCGTTACAATCACCTGAGTGTACTAAGTTTATTTCGCTTGAACTTGTCGCTACGGAGAACAAAAATGGAAATTCTGAATTGTTGAGCTATGCAGCACGACGTTGAAAAATCTTGAGAATCTGTGATCCGGCCAAAAACTCTTGGGAAGTGAATGGTCAGATGGGATGTCCAAGGCAGCCAATTTTTCATTTCATATTCATCCTTAAGGTGTTTGTGTTGCCAGTATTCGAATTCAGGTCCCCAAATTACTTAAGATCTATGTATTACAGGAGAATGTTCAAAAAACCCTTGAGTATCTTTGACTGAAAACCCGTAGTCTGCCCAGATAACAATTTAGCCAAATCGGGTGCCTACGCGATCTTTCTTGTTCAAATTCGGCCCCTTTGGCAGGTTAACATTTCTTCGATGATCTTATTCCAATTTAGTGATCCATATTATCCAAGCATATTGAGGTTCTACATACTGTTATTGAACAAAACTTGTCTTTGAACTTACCAAGTAAAATCCTTGAACGAAAAATCATCGAAATTGCCGCTACTCCCATGGCTCGTAATAGAGGCATCAGGAGTCTGACAGTTTTCTGCAACGATCTGATGTTCACTCTTCGATCGATGTACTGAGTTTTTCCGTTTCATCCTCGTCCCAAGCAATTCCAGACTGTGGTGTGTTTTGTCTAAGTACGTGATTACTTGCTTCATCACTGCTTTGTACATCTCCCTGCTTTTTTGAATCTGGAAAAGACAACAATGGCATCAAGTAGGCTTACTTCCCACGCAACGCTATCAACAGTTCCTAAAAGATTAGGTTCGGCACTCTGAGAAACACGTTAGCTACGAAAAGGATTATGTCAGTCAAACAGGCCCCTAAAACTATTCCTTAGACATTTTTTCCCTGCCTTGCTGATAGTACCTTCTATCTGGCAACGTCGCCCCTCGTCCATACCTCAACGTTTGATGGATCCACATGTCGGACTCTTCAATTCAGCAGTCATGGCATGACACTCATCGGTGAGATTGTGACGCCGTTGAAATCAAGAGAGCAGAAACGCGAACCCTCGCTCACCTCCTACAACTCCCAACCCTCAATTTTTAACCCCAGCAAACATGTTCAAGAGCCTCTGGAACGTCAAAAGTAGAGATTTGACTAATTTTTTTTTTCGTTTTTTGCCTCTAGCCCCGTCACCACTGAATCGATTTTGAAAAACAATAAAGCTTTTCCGTTTTTGGTATAGTAGTAACCTTGTGTAAATATTTAATCAAAATACGAGAGGTATTTTCTAAGTTATAGGCGGGCCAAGGATTAACAGACAGACCGACGGAAATGAGTGGCATGGCTTTTCGTAATGTACATGTCATTTAACACCCAAAAAATTAAACCTAATTTTTGCGATTGCAAATGCTTTATCGTCAGTGACGTAAGAAATAAAAATTGACTATAGACAGAATTTTTCGTTTTTGAATGGAACCTGCGATTGATCTGCGTTGAACTTTGAACTTTATTCCACGATTACATTGGGACACGCTAAGACCAGTAAAAGCAGACTGAGAGAGTCTCATGTAAATATTTCATACGAAAATGAAGAATTCTACAGAAACAGTGTGCGCGAAAGTTTAGAAATGAAGCAAAGGTGATCGTTCGAGTACAGACGGCTCCGGATGTCAATTACCAGGTGATTTGATCAGTTTTTGGACTCTACGCGGAAAAATATCAGTTGTTCTCTGACAATAAGTTTATTTCATAAAATCCCCTTTAAATCCAATATATTTTTCCAGGGAGTTTCTGCTTGATGGATACCTCCCTTGAAGTGATTCTCCTTTAATACGCCCGCCCACGGCTTCATTTTGACTTCTTGAAGCATGAAAACGAATGAAAATTACAAAGTGCCAGATCTGGTGAATATGCTGTTTCCAAGTAATCTGAAATGTAATTGACTGATCTTTTGCATTGTCAGAGCGCTTTTCTGAGTAGGTGCGTTCTCCCGATGTAAGCCGGATTTTTTTCCGAATTTCTACAGCCAGCTTGACAAGAAGACTACAATAATACTTTGCTGTTATAGTTGTGTCTACAGACAACGGATCAATACTGTTTCTTTTGCCATAATCTCTTCAGGTGATTTCGACAACGTTTCTTGCTTTGGTGAAGAGCAATTGGGTTGAGTCCTACTCTGGGGTTTCATATCGGAATTTAAAGTCATTGTCATATTCATATTATAAATTGATGCATAATATCAGTTTTATCTTTTGCAAATTGATCCAAAGGTTGCAGTGCCAATAGCTTTCTAGACCCTAATTCATTTTTCGAAATATGATACACAAGTTCGTCTGAGATGCCTACAATCTTACGAATTTCACACGTAGTCATTTGTTTTATCTAATACTACATCTTGTATCGTCATAGATTTTGTACGACCACGTTTAAATTCAGCAATCCGATTAAATACTGTTGATCTTGAAGGAGTATCACTTCCTGATACAATTACCATATCATTATATATTTCATCTTTGTAGCAATCCCACTATGCAAGTATTTAATCAGTGCATAATTTTGCATATTTTCCATTTTCTAAGACAACATGAAGTACGTCCACTTTAAGGCGATGTAAAATGAAATCTATTTTTTCTGTTCAACATAGGGAGTTTCTAGTAGCAAAGAAATATGTTTTCTGATGCCAACGTCTTGTACGTGTGAATCCAGAAAACTTTTCAAATGACCTTGTATCCTACTTCCCAGAATGTTCGGGTGGAAGGTGACCTCGAGCGAATATCATCAGTGTTATTCATTATTTTTCAATTCTTGATTGCATGTTTCTCACAACACACATCGATACTAAGAATTTCCCACCTATGAGGGATGCAACATTTTGGCATAAGACCTTCATCAGGTGGTTACTGGAGTCGCTGGACGACAGCAAAGATTCTGATCCTGTGACCCGCCTAAGAATTTGGTTGGACCTTATAATTTGCATATTTAGCATAGTTTTGTGTATAACTTTGGAGATATTTCCCCAGCTATTCAAAAAGTTTTGAGGGCAGATACGTTTTCAGAAAAAGTTGTTACTTGACGATGAGACCTATGTTTAAGATTCTGTCATTTTTTCTGGGAGCTGAGGAGGGATTGAATAGGGATAAATCAGCTACAATTCTACTCCTATGTAGCATTCATCTATATCTCAGCTGTCTGTCATCATCAAATTGTTAGAAAAATGTAATAAGAGAGAAAAATATCACTACAGTTATTCCGACAATGTTTCAATTTCTATTTTGCATACATTTTATGATTAAATCCAGTTATAAACAGTTTAATAATCAAGTGCCACACTTCGTACATAAAGCAGGACTGATATCACTGAATCGTGATTCTCTTAACCTCCCGCTCTTCAGTTTCAACTAGCAGAAACGGAGAGTGCTGCATTTCGCGTTTCTGCATCTTCCTGACTAGATCTTTATTAATCCAGAATGCAAAAAGTAGGCCAAAATGATTCGGAAAGAATTCGCCGACCAGGTATTCTTACTGCCTTCAATTTGATACTAACTGCATTCAATTCGACACTATTCGCCAGGAGTAAAGTGCATAGTGGGGAGAACTAAACCGATTGCCGCGCACACGGTGGACAAAAAAAAACAACATCGTCGGCCTAATAGTGGAATAAAGGCGTGAGATCTCTCTGGATGGTGAAATCTGTGTCATATGGGGTCAACTGAGGCCTGGCAATAGTGCAAATATATTTTGCTGTCATCATTTGTCAGATAAAGAGAAATATCATCCGCTAGGTGGCGCTGCCATCGCGCACCCAGCGAATAGATGTATAGCTGACAAGGAGTATTCTTCCCAAATAGGGGGTAATCTGGAGAGATAGACGCAGATAGCGCTAGTTAGGCCATATCGGTCATATCTAAGGTTAAGAACAAACATGCCCATTGCAGATCAGTTGTTGACATCAATACATGTCAAAACGTGAAAAAACTGTTATCTTTTTATGAAATCTGTCTTTTTCCAAACTAAGTTTTACAGCTTTGACCCCCAACCACAAAAGCGTCGCCTGGCGGGCGCAAAATCGGACATAGCTGCCACTCTTTTAGACTACTTTCGGCACATTGACTAAATTAAGCAAAAATGATTGCTGAATTAACGTGTAATTTGACTCTAAACCAATTTGGTTCTTCACTTCGAGAGAATCACTCTACGACCTGAAAGGCAGTAGGTAGGAGCAGTCATCTCTTCACAGAATACCATTCTAAACATGCTTTTATTTCCAAATCAGTTGCAATGGTAAATAAAAAGTGCGCAACAACAGCTGCATTATCAATAGTAAGCGTTTTATTTGCATACAAACGCGTGCATCCGGTTAGAAACAGAAACCATCGGATACTTTTTGCCTTGAAAGTAGTTTTGTGTTCGGCATCGAATTCGGCTATTGTCATAATCAGCGTAACAGTAATCCGAATATTGTTTGTTTTTTGTTGGCCGAAACTAAATGGAATAGACTTGTTTTCGAACATTATTCAAATATTTGCCATTTGGGTATACTGATTCAGGTAATGTTGTAAAGGCCTGTCCACACTAGGCATTCAAAATATTGGACCGTGAAACAATGATGTTGCTTGCAATCTTGAAAAAGTGCTGAAAATCAGACAAAACCAGTGTTCGGGCAACATTTTCAACTAAGTGCTTTAGAACTTCCACATCGAGTAATTTATGCCTTGAAAGCAGTTTTGGGTTCGGCAACAAATTTGGTTTTTGGAAACTAAGTGGAACCGTCTTGTTTTTATACCAATATTTACATTTAGGCTACTGTGGTTACAACAGTCAAGTCAAGGGCTGTCCACAACCACATTTATTATTGAACGTAATGCACGAAACAACCATAATTAATTGTCATCATAATCATTATTTATCATTCGCAGGATTATTACGCAAAAAACCAATATGATGTCAAAGAAAAAATCGGTAAAATGTCAACTTGTGCATTAGATAGCCGCTAGTTCATTCCACGGATAGTAGTGAACATGAAGTGAATGTCAGATAGTTTATAGGTAACATTTTATAGGGAAAGCTACATGTCATCCTGATGACATTCGTAGGGCTACAAATCTTGTCCATGAAGTGAGAAATGCACTGCACGAACTACGCAACGAGCAATGGAGCGACTTTCTAGCGGGAATGGTTGATTCAAGTATTCCTCTCTGGAGGGTCGCAAAGTCACTCAGAAACGGAAAGCGAGAACAACTCCCACACATCCACGGTCCTGAAGGCATAGTCTTCAGAACGGAGGATGAGGTCGAGGTTTTCGCTGATGTCATTGAAAAATAGTTCTCTCTCAACTATAATCTCGATAATGACCTCGACGAAGAACAGCACATCGTACGATCCGTCAGGAGATGACTCTTCTTCAGAAGATTCGTCTGAGGCTCCACATAGCACATTAGTGGAACCCTCCGTGTTTCCACATTGCTCACCAGCGGAGCTCTTAAGTCATATTAAAGACCTCAAGGTGCGTAAAGCACCTGGGGAGGATCAAATCACCAACAAGGCGTTGAAGCTGCTCTGGCCGAAAGCCCTGACATATTTGGTGACAATAATCAATGCGACGCTCAGAATCCAGTACATCTCTGCTGGGTGGAAGACTGCTGAAGTCATTCCAAAGAAGGTGGGTTCGATATTTCCTTAGGATTACCATCCCACAAGTCTGCTATCAGCTCCTTCTAAGCTCGCCGAAAAGGTGATTTATCGTCACCTTGAGAATTCTTCGTCAAATCACCATGTGATTCCTGACGTTCAATTCGGTTTTCGGTCCGAGCATAGCATTGAGCTACAGGCAGTCAGGCTGGTGGAACATGTAACCAAAGGGTTCACCCTCAGCATGAGTACTGGCATCTTGCTTTGGATGTCTCAAAAGCCTTTGACAAGGTGTGGCACGCGGGCCTCCTCTATAAACTAATCCAAAAGGGTTTTCCTTTTTGGCTTCTAAAATTAATGAAGTCCTTTCTTGAAGGAAGGAAGTTTCGGATCAAAATTAACAATGTTTTGTCAACAACACGGCCAGTACGGGCCGGTGTTTCTCAAGGTTCGGTCCTAGGACCAAGTCTTTATTCGCTTTTCATCCATGATGTCCCTTGCCCCAGCAACTGTGAAGTCTACCTCTATGCTGACGACACTGCCCTTGTCGCCCAGTCGTGTATTGGTGATCTGGTTCACGATGGGTTGCAGAATGCGGTGGACGAAGTTCTAGAGTGGGCGGAACGGTGGCTGATAAAAATTAATCATTCGAAAACGCAGGCTATTTATTGTACCAAAAAATGTCGCGGCCCCCAGCAGAGCATTCTGTAGACGGAAATCGTGTACCATGGACAAATTCTGCCACGTACCTTGGTGTCACCCTTGATAAAGGCATGACTTGGCAGAAACATACAGCATCCATAAAAACAAAATTCCAAATTGCGTTTCGGCAACTATATCCTTTGTTATGTAGATCCTCCAAATTGAGTTTGATAAACAAAGTTCGACTATATAAAATGATTATTAGACCAGCCATTACTTATGCATGTGCGGCTTGGTGTTTTCTTGCTAAGACACACGTGCAAAGTCTTCAAGTACTGCAAAGCAGAACTTAGCGGACAATTTGCAACGCTCCATGGTATGTCTCAAATGAGACACTACACAGAGACCTGGACATTCCTTACTTGAGAGATTATGTCAAGGTTCAGGCGCAGCGACGTTATAGTCAAGCGGAATCGCACAGCAACCCTCTTTGCGTGACTCAGAGGACTACACAGTGGATTACACAGTGGAGCAAGTTCCTAAACATTCAAGGCCACAGCTCACCCTGTAATCAAAAGTTAGCGCGAATTTTTAGTAAACTCAAAATTACACTCTAACAAAACCGAATAAAAAATTTGTTTAGTTAACCTCAAAATTAATCCGTGTGCCAAGTCAAAAAGCCTAGGTGTTTCGTCTTAAACTAAGCACATCTGTTTTTCTTTGCTCTTCTCCTTTTTTCTTCTCTTTCCCTTTCTCTTTTTTCTGGACTTTGTCTGGTTTCTGGGCAACCAGGACTGACAGATTCGACTAACGTACATTAGACAGTGACTAATGGGCAAAGGTCCTACGGACCGCCCAGACAAACAAATGACGAATAGTAGTCATAAGAATCGGTATGTCATTTTTAAGTTAGACATGCAACAAGGGGGTTCAATAAGCAGAAGTGCAGAAAACCATATATGTGAAAGAAAAAGAAAGCGACGTTTTTGCGTTGTTTTCTAAAAAATACTTTTCTGAAAACGACTTACCTCCTTTATCTGCCATTGTAACGTTTCTATTTTAGATTGGTTTACAATATTTTCTACTGGTATTTCCGATATTCTCTGGACTGGATTTCTTGCACTGTTAATATGACTACAAGAAAAACGTCTGGTGTCTCTGAATCCACTTCTTGAATCCTGAAACAAAAAATTATTCGATATAAATACTATTCTTGGGTTTTGAGTAAGAATAAAGAATCGCATGTTACTATATTTGTAATCATCTCCAAATTTTCTAGAAAGAGGTTCAACGCTTATAATCTACTCTTCATTTGTTAGTAAGATAGTCCGACACCGTTTTTGTCGATTCTTGTAGATGTTTAGGCACATTTATTGAAGCACTGAAACGCTACTAACAAACAGCAACAGAAATATTCTCGATGTCATTAAGAAGTATATTTGAATCAGTTTGCAATGGTAGATGGACTGTGTATCTAGGCAATTCGAAATTTCTGGAGGAAATAAATGGGAATAACTGCAAACATGTGTTTTTCCTTATACGCATTTGCTACTCTTCAAGAGACACATCTGCTATCTATGAATGCCATTCAGCCCCACGCCCCACCAGATGTACAGCTTGTTATGCGAAGTACCTAAAAGCTCTCTACTGCTTTTCTAATATTGAATTTGTGCCGCCATACAAATCCTAACATCTGGATGACGATGTCCGTAAAAATTCCAGGGCAGCCCTAGGATATTCACATGAACGTTCAAAGTACAATTGCTTTAGTGTAAAAAGTTTACCTACAATGGCAATATGAAGATAAAATTTAAACATCGCAATCTTCTTGTGAACAAAAAGTTACGTCAAGTAAATTAACTCTCTACTTCCTACGCCTTCGTTGGAGTTTTCAAAGAAAAGCGGCGAGTTAAATCGTTTAAAAAGGCGAATTCGAAATGTGATTAGGTAGGTTCACTTAGGTACGATGATTCCCCGACCTCTGCATATCAAACTATATAGTGCAAATCTATCATATTTCTGTTTCCATGGCAAATGTCGGAAAAATATGTGTGACTTATTATGACTAACAGGTGCATAGTATCACTGAGATCAACAGCTTCTTAATGACAGACGGTCTTGCACTGACACCAAAAAACAATTAGTCTAATCAAATTAGACGAAAATACCCTTGGTTTGCGAAATAATTGTAAAGTCTGGTTTCTTGTTCAAGGGGATATTCAAAACATGGACGCATAAAATGGGTACACCAAATTTTGTGGGAGAATTTTTAGGTATTTATGAGACCTACAATAATTGTATCAATTATTGAGACCACACGTAAAAAGATCCGACTAATAGCAAAAAAAGGTATTGCCTAAAACCGAGGCAAACTGCAGGTTTTGGCACTTGGTAATGCGACGATGGTTTCTCGCAGACACTTGAAATTCTTCAAATTCATAGGAATCGTACTTCTAAATAACCACAACAAAATTGGGAGTAGATTGGTCAAGTAGTTTTTGAGAATGTCTAATTGTTCATCCCAAAACACCTGTTTTCCGGCCATCACTACTAGTTTACTTTACAGGGTTAGTTCAAAGAGCATTTTATAGCAAAATACACTAGTTTACTTTGCCGATATGAATAGCAAACCATTCCGAAAGATAAATGTTATTTTTATGCAAAAAGATGGGTTACGTTTTTTTTTATCTAAACAAATTCAAACATTTCGTATTTGTGAGTAATTTGCAACAAAAGATGATAGACATGTCCGCTTTGTTTTTCGAATGACGTAGCGCATTTTTTCAGTTACTCATAAATAAGAAATGTTTGAATTATTGAACGAACCCTGTACAAATAAACCACTAGTGATAGCCGGATGGGATAAACAACTAGAAATTCTCAAAAAACTACTGGACCAATATAATCCAATTTTGTTATTGTTATTTAGAAGTATGAATCCTACGGATTTCAAGAATTTTAAGTAGTGGTGTGAAATTATCGTCGCATTACCAACAAGTGCCAAAACCTGCATTTTGCCTAGTTTTTCGGCCATAACATTTTTGCTATTAGTCGGATCTTTTTACGTGTGGTCTCATTTTGTAAGTCTCATAAATATCTAAAAATCTCTTATGGAAAGTTTTTCCGTTCCTGTCAATACTTTCGATTGTATCCCAAAGAACACGTTTTCTCATACTTTGTTGTCAAATAAAAAGTTTTCCCACAAAACTTGGTGTACCCATTTTATGCGTCCATGTTTTAAATACCCTCTTGAATAACTTGCATCAGTAAAACCAGACTTAAAAATTATTTCGGGGAAATTTGCTTATATGATTAGACTAAATTTACAACAATTTACTTTATTCAGCTTCCTACCTACAATTTTCATCCACTTCAAACAATGTCTGAAAATAAGCAGGAATCTCTGAAACGTTGTATGACTATGTTCCAGGGATTTTATTTCCGCCGCCTCTAATTAATTTTCAAAATCTACGACTACCTAAACGATGAAGTATTCAACTCGCAATGATATTCGAACTTTGGTACATAAGTTTTCTGTTGCATAACATAAGTCTGTGTCTCTGTTGTATATCAATGCGTCATAAGTACTGAGTCAATCTACTTGAGGAAATATCCAGAGAACCATCATAGACGAAATATCGCAGAACGCTAAAGTTGTATGTAATCATAATATCCAAATATTGATAAAATAATATGTAAATAATGGGTGATTTTTTTGCTAGTATCTTTTTGGCAACACTGTTTTTGACAGATGACGCGTGAATCGTGTCTTGTGTCATTGTCAAACTTGTTCAGTTTGGTCAATAATTTAACCATGAATCGACTTACGAACGAACAACGCTTGCAAATTATTGAATTTTACTATCAAAATTCATTCTCGGTTAAGAGAGTGCATCGAGCACTGCTTCCAATTTATGGGCAATTTGGTCGGCCTACTGAGGGAGCTATTCGGAAGCTTGTGACTAAATTTCGAACCCAGTTTACATTATTGGACATTAAACCACCAACACGCAGACGTAGAGTGAGGACTAAAGAAAATATTGCGGCTGTATCCGCCAGTGTTAGTAATGATCATGAAATGTCGATTCACCGCCGTTCGCAGCAATTGGGCCTCTGTTAGTACACTACGTGGAAAATTTTAAGACAGGATTTGGGTGTAAAACCTTATAAAATACAGCTGGTGCAAGAATTGAAGCCACACGACCTCCCACAACGTTTCCAATTTGGTGAATGGGCGCTGGCAAAGTTGGAGGAAGATCCACATTTTTATCGAAAAATTGTGTTCAGCGACGAAGCTCATTTCCGGTTGAATGGGTACGTTAACAAGCAAAATTGCCGCATCTGGAGTGAAGACCAGCCAGAAGAATTGCAAGAGCTACCAATGCATCCCGGAAAAATCACTGTTTGGTGTGGATTATGTGCCGGTGGCATCATCGGGCCGTACTTCTTCAAAGACGACAATGGCCGGAACGTAACTGTGAATGGCGAGCGCTACCGTGCGATGATAACAAACTTTTTTTGCCCAAAATGGAAGATCTGGACTTGGCTGACATGTGGTTTCAACAAAGGCTAATGCCTACAGGGATAAACCAGCAACGATTGACGCACTGGAAAAGCCAATATTGAAGCACTTATTCGTGAGATACCGGCCGATATGTTGGAGAGAGTGTGCCAAAATTGGACCTTGCGCATGGGTCATTTAAAGCTGAGCCGCGGCCAACATTTACATGAAATAATCTTTAAACATTAAATTATATCGACCGTTCTATCGACTCAAATAAAGATTTAATCGTTTTTTCATATTTTTTGTGTTTTTTTTTTGAAAATCAAATCCTATACCTCTTAAAAAATCACCCGTTAATATGTAGATATTTCCACTCTAGCGGTGTGTCAGTGACGACATCACCGCAGACCCGTTGGTGTTTGTTACACATCGCAAAGTCGGCAGTGGTATACACGACTATGTAGCATGCGCCAACTATTGCCATGGGCGCATTATACAACGGGCTTTACCATTTATTTTTTCAGTTGTTAACATGATCAGAAGCTTCCTAATGATAAATCGTCTTTGACTAATACTAAAAACGTTACATTTACAACCCCCTACTTCATACAAACCTCACCCCAACATTCAACCCCTCCAAAAAAATTCTGAAAATATCGTTAAAAAAACGAAGTTTAAGCGATTATTATCCTTGGTCACTTCTCAAGTTATACGTGGCTATAGAATTAGCGGACAGATCGTCAGACAGACAAGCCAACGGAGATGAGTGACATGTTTTTTCGTGATGTACATGTCATATACATATACGTATACATCAAAAAGAATCTCAATTTCGAAATTTTTCGAGATCACAACATTTTCTCGCCAGTTTTGGCATAGGCAGTAAAAGCACGGATGATAGCCCATAGAATGAATAGCATGGAATGGGGTGCACGTTTGCTTGGATCTTTTGCGTTTTATTGTCACTTAGCAATGAGCATACCTTATCTAGTGCGATAGAGATCTTTGCAATGCAAACGATCCGACTTGACAGCACCCCATCCATTGTTATGCATCCTAAGCATTATCTGCCGTAATGTTTTCGTTCATACAAAAAATCGCAAGGCTGAACTGTCACCAGATCTGGTGGTGATATTTTTAAACTGCCTTGTGGAAGAACACCACTTTCTATTTTCTCGTATATACAAAGTCACGGGAAGTAAAAGAGATTTAGGTATGTGGGGTAGGTGTAAATCATTTGTCTATTCCTAGCCGGGCCTGTGCCCAAAGTTAAAACAAGAAAGCGGAAGTCTTACGTCGTTGAAAAGGGGCTGAAACAAAGATATGAAAGGAAGCATAAATAACATCAAGTGGATACAGGAAGTGTGTTGGAGACAAGGGCGTACATGCCTAGGATTTGATTAAATGAATGAATAATTTTTCTTCACTAACTTATTTTTTTATTGAACATATAATAAGCTTGGAATACGTTTAAATAAGAATTTGAGTTCGAAATTATTTGTTAAAAATTGCCTGAAGCATAGCAAATTCATTTTTGTGTCCGTCAGTCTTCTAAATGTCACGATCGCTCTTAATAATTATCAATGAAAATTAATTGAAAATGAGGACTAAGAGCTCCTTGCTTTAATTTTTGTGAAAAGCAGCACAAAAGAGTAAGGGAATAATTTGTCGACCAGGTATTCTCGCGCTCTCCCAAATGTTTGAGCTACTTCTAGTAGAGTAACTGAATTTGACAAGTATTAGTGCGAAATAAAAGTGGATTTTAAAATGTCCATAGCTTCTTATGGTAATATAAATTCTTACCAACCAACCAAAAATTGATACAGCCTACAGCCGCCCCAATGCTGAATCTTTCTCGCAATCACTCAGAGTATATACAGAGAAATCCAAATATCACTGACGAGGTAATGTGTAAGAGATAGACGCGTGAAATAAATACGTATGCTAGAAAGAGGGCGCCGATGGCAACGCTGCAAGCCGCAGCTGCGTCCGTGGCCTCGTCACCAGGGTTGCTAGGGAACGTGGCACTTCTCTCTTCTCGCGTTTCGCTCTCGTACACATTACGCAGTTAGTGGTATGTGGATTACGCTGTATACAGGGGACATCAACTATGTCTGACGGCTTGAGTTCATTGTGTATGAGAGAGAAGCGCGACAAGTGTGTATCAACAACATGTTATAAAGAAATAGAAGCCGGCCGAAGAGCGAAGGTCATCATCTCATTGCTTAGCAACGGGGACGCAGAAGGTCGTGCAAACTGCCGCGTTGCCAATATGTTACACCAGAAAATGTGCGCAAGGGCTTAGGTTACTGCAAAAACCCAATAAGGAGGTGTGTTCGAACAGTTAATTTAATATTTTGTTTTCATTTTGATTAGAATTATTCGTTTTAATTTTGATGCGACATAGTGTTTTAATTTATTTTAGACTTATCTTTGATTTCCACCGATGGTGATAAAATCAACACATCCTGAGTTACTGTTACACTTTGTGATAGAGAGCGGTCGGAAAATGTAACAAATGCCGTTACACAATACAAATTATCACTGACTGCGTGTACGTAGGTGAAAACGATTGCGAAGCGACACTCCCCACTGAGCGCTAGATGGGTACTGACCAAAATCGCTAATCTATGATCATGGAGATGCTTGCCTTGAAATGTAAGAGATGCGGTGCTGCCAAACGAACCAATGATACAATGTTCCAGAATTTGTGGCGATGCTGACCTTTCATTTCGACCTAAAATGGAGCCCCGTTAGGTCCGATCGGGAATCAATCAATCCTAAACAGATTTGACGAAATTCACAATTCAAAAATGTGTACGCTCAAAATAAAACCATTATCTGGGCGTAGAGAGTAAACTAACGCATATTTTCAAAATACATCTTAATTCAAGGAATTGGTGTAACATATTGGTGTCGCGGCATATTACCGCGCCAGCGATGCGAGGGAACGCGGTGATGAGCTTCACTATCCAGCCGGATTCTATCTCTTTCTAACACATGTGTCTATACACACTTCTCTCTCGTTCACATTGAACTCAAGCCGTCACACAAATTAGGTTGGCAATGCATATTAAGCAACCGCTGATGAACGATTATAGAGCAAATGTCTAGAATAACAAAACACCCTAAAATGATTTGGAATTTCATTTAGAAGACGTTTGAAATTGTTCAACCTATTAAGGTATCTAGTGACTTTGACAATATTAAAATTTCATTCATTATCAAATACTAAATCGCTTATATCACGAAAACCAACAACTTTAGAGAAGAGTGCAAAAAATATTTTTTGTACAGAATGACCTTAAAAACTTAAACAAAACATTACCCGGAGCAAAAACACAATTTTTGTAATATGCTTAAAAACCGTTTAACCGCAATTTTAGACTCAATATGCAGATTAATTAATATAGGTCGTTTTTGCATAAGAGTGTGCATAAGCCGAATTAAAATATTTTTCCCAGCTGAAGGGAAGGTATTTCCTGGACTATCTGCATTTTGCGTTTAATTGTCCGACCAACAAATGGAGCTACAAATGAAAAGGGAAACATAAACCAATGCACGGATGCAATGTGGAGACATAATATACGTTTCTCTGTAATAAATGCAATTAATCCATTAATAGGTTAATACATTATGAACCCCTTCACCGCCTGTCGTTTTTCGCTGACCGAGCATGCAACCTGCATTCTTCAGATTCATATCAGAGAAATACGTCTGAGCTTATCCAAAGAAAAACCATTGAATGCGGGTAATTGATATGGGGATATCCCGTTGCTGCTGAGATGGCTGCCGGTAAATGATATTCTGCTTCTTCTCAGTTGATTTTCTTGAACGGCTGTCTGAGCAGATAGGTCGTTTATTTTTCAGGTGACGTTCTGTAAAATCAACTGTCGACATGGCGCGCAGAAGTGAACCTATTGCTCACTAGACGTTGGAGAATATTTTCAGGTCGCCATACACAGACATTGTCTAAGATTCCATGTATCACAAGTGGTTTATATAAGACATCAGATTAACTTTGGGCATACTAACAAGGTAAAAGTTGCGTCTACACTTTGTTGCCAAAGGTACGAGTATGCTTTAGGGTACTTGAAAATAGGTTCTAAATAAGGTCACCTTTCGTTACATTTGAAAAAAATATTTTCTTGTCTGTTTTTGCGCATTAAATTTTGACCTTGAGAATAAACCTTAAAGGTTTCCCAGACCTCAAATTATTCGCTGTAAAAATTTAAAAAGGCATTTTTTTTTTGTTGAAAATATTAAAAAAAGCACTACTATTTAGGGGTTGGAATGCAAAATCTAATGAAGATCGACACTATTTCCGAATTTTAAGTCCCCCCTAATTTCCGGGATAATTTCATATACGTTAAATTGATTTTTTTTGATAAAAAAGTATTGCGCATAGTTTGGTCGTCCGGAACTAACCCTAAAAGCCTCAAAAGGAGCGAAACATCAAAGACAGTTGTAACTTTGGAGTTACCCCAGAATTTTTATGGATTGCCTTTATAAAAGTGAAAATGTAGCATTCAGAAAGTGAGGTTGTTCAGAGCCACCCCTAAGGGACTTAAAAGAGGTGAAAAAGGTGAAAATGTAGGTAAAGACAACTGTAACAACTCTGGAATATAAGAGTTACGTTGCTTTTAATTGTATTTCTTCCATTTTTACCTCTTTTCAGTCACTTAAGAGTAATTCAAATTTTTTGTCAGCTTTTTCACCAACTTGGCAGCACTTGGGGATAGTTTCGGACGAAAAAACTTGGTGAGCGTTATCTTCTCATCATTATAATTTCAAAACCTCGAGGAAATGAAAAGTAACAGCTTTTCTCGCTGTCCTGACCTGTATCTTCAGTCCTTTCATCCCTTTTGAATCACTTATTTATAGTTCCGGAAGATAAGACTTGGTGAGTGTTACCTTTTTACGATTATAAAAATATTTCTCAAAAATTATTTCGATATCTGCGGAAACTCAAAGATTGCATCTTTTATCGCTATTTTTACCTATATTTTGACCCCTTTCATCGCCCTTAGGGATACTTCCGGACGACCAAACATTCTGCGCATCAGTTTTTTATCCAAAACATTTCTCGGAAATGAAGGGGAAACTTAAAATTCGGAAAAAGTGTCGAACTTCAGTCATTGGATTTTGGGGTTATCCAACAAATAATAAAATTTTTGAATATCTTGAAAAAACCTATTTTGATTTTCTTAAAGTCAGAAACCACTACGCAACAGGCAAATTTTGGGGTCACTCCTTTCAACTGCCACTTTTACGCTACCCGATCAAAAAATAAGTATCACTCTAACTTTATACTTTAACCATCAAAAGCGCTCTATGCATGATACTATTGACTCGTTTTATGTGTATGACAATGTAAAAGTACTAGTAGAAAAATTACGGATCAATGTCTGACCTCAAGGTATGCAGTGGCCTTGACATGATCTTAAGGGAGGCTGAAGGATTCTTTTAAACTTCGTTATACAATGGGATCATGTATGGTCGACTACTGTCACAGCTGCTGTAGTATGAGTAAAGCTGGCGCTTAGTAACAAAATAACTCAGTCGAGGGAATCCAAGAATGCATAGCATGCGTGTGGTGCTCGGATGAATTTCACATGTCCCACGTGTCAGGTTACCAGTGCACTGTTGCAGATTGCACATGCAAGGTGAAGTGTATCTCTGATCAGGTACAATGTCACCTCACTCATTTCAACCGGTTTTTATTACAAATACGTGCTGCTGGGAAAGAAATTAAGCGATATCAATAGCGTTGATTACGATTACGGTGTTAGAGTTATGTTGAATGGAAACGCCTCAGACTTTTCTCTAGCTGCTCAACCGACAGAATTTCAAATCATACCAGGCCCTTTCCACAAATATCACTGCCGAGAACAGATAGGCAGATATTGAGGTTTGGAAAGGATATAACGTAGCTGGTCGTAATGCAAAAGACCAACTAGGTATTATCGCAGCGCGATACAAGTAGATTTTTCTGAACGTGGGCTGAGCAAAACCGAGGATATGTCTCAAAGAGGACTTGCTAGGATGAGACGGCTGTGACAGACTCGGAGGCTGAGGCAAAAATATTCTCCACGATTTTTGCGGACATCAATACAAAGGATTCTCTACTATAGCGAAAGTAATAGACCATCAAAAGGATGCTGGAGTCGCTCGACACCAACAGTGGTTCAAATCCCGCACGGGTATCACGTATCTTGAAAAATGACATTATGCCGATTTTTTTTTTTGACATTATGCTGTTTTTTTTAACATTATGTAGGTTATTCTACAAGATGTTAACTTAGCACTTAGTTGTACGCGTTGCCAAAACGTCATGAGGTTTGTTATCAATCTTTGGATCTGATGTGATGTAAAATCTGCTTCTGAGATGGCATTACTGGAGGTCTAAGCTGTAAGTTGTATATGTTGATGATAATTACATTGGATTCTTGTCTCAAATACACTTAATTGAGATTCAAAGCTAGAAATTAGTTGCGCATCCACTTTTTCTTATCCATTTTGGAAATCACATATACAAATTTGCTGAATTTCAAAAATGAGAGAGATAAGAAATAATTATATTCACTGTACACTGTCGAATTACAAGCCATATACATGCTAACAGTAATTACACACAACGCGGGCGCGGTGATGATTTCCCGTAATTCTCCTCAGTTTTTCGTAATTTATAACTTTGAACATAACCTCTCTTCAGAAAGCACAACACATAAATAACCCCTCATATTCAGTAACGATTTTATCACACAGAAAATATCACTGATTTTATACACATCCAGACCAGTACACATAAACATCCAAATGCGACCTTGCTATTCAACCAACTTTCTTCTCAGAGATAAAAACTTCAGACCCGGATCACTCAGCCTCACAAAACTATGCAACCAATAATCCGTAGTTTAGTTGAGTGATTCCTCCATAGATGGACGATCACAACGATCCTAGTGAGCAAACGTGGAATTACTGTTTGCGCCCTAAAGACTACCTAGTCTGCAAGTTGATATCTTATAGGTTTTTTGACGTTTTATAGGTTTTTTTACATAATACCCGTGCCGAGATGATCCTTCTATTACTATTTAAGAGATTTCAAGGAGTTTACTCCAGCCACGTCAGTCTCTTTCAAATGTTTTAGGACTCTCATATTTACGACCCTTCTTCTCCTAAGGTGTTGTGAAGATCTGGCTTCCAGAAGACGCTTTCCTTGATTCCACAAATTCTAGACTAGGGACTGATTTAGGGGGGAGGGGGTTGCAGTGATGGTCGCAGCAATCATGTTTTGGAAGATGTTCAACTCAAAATGAAGAGGATGGAGGGATGGCATGCTTGCTTACGCCCTTAAGCAGTGCATCTGAGAGCAGATACTCTTGTGACAATTGAAGAGCAGAAAGTGAGATGCATCTCGGGGCGGCGCACGCCTCAAGATTTTAGCAGGACCAGCAAGGTAGTTGATACCTCAAGATACAGCAATTATAT